TGAATGGATGGGAAAAGGGGAGGAGGAGGAGGGGGCTTATATATAAGCTAGCTTGGATTGGATTAAAACATTGCCTTTGACCTTCATTTGATCTTATATTATTAGGTCGCTGTTTGACTGGGGTAATATCAAAAGCTCACAATTTGAATGGGTCGTTTGCTTGAACCGCGCGTTATCAGTATGCTACGACCTACGTTTATAAAATTACTCTTATTATTATTATTATTATTATTATTATTATTATTATTATTATTATTATTATTATTATTATTATTATTATTATTATTATTATTACTTCATCCGTTCTCAAAAACACTTCCTCTTTCATTTTTTCCACTTCCAACAAAACACTTCCCTTTCTATTAAAAAACCACTTTTACCCTTACGTTTTCCTACCCTACCTATCACATCATACTTTTTCTCTAATAATCTATCTATCACATCTTACTTTACCCATCACATCAGGGGCAAAATTGGAAATCAACTATAATTTAACACTTCCTTATTTTTGCCCCCAAATCAAATGGGAAGGGTTTTTCCAAACGGAGGGAGTATTTTATTATACTAATATGCAATATAAATGAAGAGTAATTAAAGTTCAAAGTTTGTACCGTTTGGCTCGAAAAAGATCAAACTGAATAAATACACTAAGAGGAAGGTAGTATTATTATTAGTATGGAGTATTATCATTATTTCTCTTATTGTTGTTGTTGTTGTTGTTACTACTACTACTATATATTGCTACTATTATTATCATCTACTTTCTGTTGTATATTTTAATTTAATTCGAATAACTATTTGACCAATGTTATTATAATAATCATCAAGAAAGTTTGGTGATGCAGAGTACATGCTTCGTTGGGTTCATTATGATAAAAATCTTGTTTAGCCCATAATTATGTAACGGGGGTTCCAAGGGCGGGGTATTGCCTCCTTGGCGGGGGTTCGTGGGCAAAACCCCTGAGAGCGGGGTTCATGGGGATAGTGTCGAAGTAGAATGACTAAAAATTTGATAAATGAAATTCCATTGTGGCCAAAATCAATATCTCATATCTATTAGGTGTGATAGTGAAACTACTTTGGCTAAGGCTTATAATCAAGTTTATAATAGAAAGTCAAGACACTTAGGTGTGAGACACAACGTATATATATAGCTTGTGAGCTCATGATGCACGGTGTGATATGAATGGAGTTTGTGATAACTCATCAGAATTTTACTGATCATTTAACCAAAGGGGTAATTCAATTGGTTTATTTGATGTTATTGACCTATAGCCAGGCGGATCCATGTTTAAAGAAATGGGGGCACTTGCCCCAGTGGCTTTAAGAAAAAAATTTATTAATACATTAACTATCCTTATTTTTTTAAAAGAAATAGAAGTGACGCCCCCCATAAAAAAGTTGGCTGCCCCCAATACCTTCAATCCTTCCTGGCCACTTCGGTACATTAAGAAAAAAATTTATTAACACATTAACTATCCTTATTGTTTTGTTATTTCATACGGTACATTACTATGATATAAGTGAATATAACTTTGTAATATACTCCCTCCGTCCCTAAATAAATTTCCCATTTCGTTTTATCTTTGTCTCCAAATAAACTACTTTTTTCTCTTAAAAAACCCCTTTTACCCCTTACTTTTTCATACCCTATCTATCACATCATACCTTTTTACTAATAATTTACATATCACATCTTATTTTTACACATCACATCAAGGATATTTTTGAAAAGTCAACACAAAAATATCTCTCCCTTAAATTCTCAAAAAGTCAAAAAAAGAAGTTTATTTAGGGACGGAGGGAGTATTATCCTTGTTTTTTTCTCAAAAAAAAAATTCTCTATGTATTGGTACACCAAATTGTACCCTACTTACACCACATATTTCAAGCTCGCCCCCAGTGGTTTGAATTTCTGGATCCACCACTACCTATAGCTCACAAGTTTGATTCTTATCGTCACTCAATTAAAAACATTATAATATACCATTATTTTTATGGTTCTAGTAAAAATAAATCCTACATATAATACATGGAGTAATTTAATAAAGAGATTTGTTAGGGGGGACTTAATCGATCAGCATTAAAATTTCCCTTAACGCGGAGAGAGAAATTAAGATTTCACGTGTAAAACTCATAACGATTTGATAAAATTTAGAAAGTGGTAAGGATAATTGGATTGAGTAATAAGATACTCAGATTGAACCATTTAAAAGATTGAATCCAATCAATTAGTTAGTTCAATGTGGGATAATCTCTAACCCCCCAAGTGAACGACAGACCATTTTGAATCTAACCGGTTGACCACTTGCAAATGAACTCTCATCTTCTTGATTTTTTTAGCGCTAACACCTAAAAGACTACGTGACGCTAGGTATAGACTTCTAGACGAGCAATTGAGTTTAACATGTCACAGTTCGTTGGATATACATTCCACGCGGACAACTAAGCTAAGCTTAAGACTGAGACCGTTAGGAATGAACGTCTAGACGAACACCTGAACAAACGATAGGTAGAGTATAATATATGCCACTAGACTGAGTCCGTTTGTTGTTTCTCAGCACTAGACCGAGTCCATTTACCAAACAAATTAAACCATTGAAGTATAATATATGCCACTAATTAAAGCACAAACTCTCTTGCTTAATTTGTATACATTTTTAGCGACCAATGAGCTGAAGACGACTATGACTAATTAATTTACTTACGCGGCCAACACTAAATATTGGGAATAATTATATATTAGTATAACATACATTATTCTAATTCAATGTTTCGATGCCATATATACTACATGCAACAATTCAACCATACCCGCATGGAATTCAATTACCAACCATTTTACTTCCTTAATTGGTCTCAACTTTTTTCTTACATTTGACTTTTAGGACTTTAACTTTATGATTATTAAAAAGTCATATATGATTAAAATTAAATTTACAGAGTACTCGTATTTATATAAGAAAGAAATCTTGTGACTCAGATTTATTATTCCGTACTAAACATGAAAATAATTAAATTTAAATAATGAATATTTTGAGATGTCGTACGTCAAAAAAAAAATTTAAGGCGGATCAAATATTTTAGAACTGCCAGAGTATAGCAAGCGAATAATCATATTCCCCATTTGTTAGCCACAAAAAAAAAATCCACATTGTTTAATCCCTTGTAGTGTGTTAATTAAATTATACAGTACTTATTAAACTAACTCATGCATATATGATATATAGGACGTACTATAGAAGTATCAATAAATAAAAATTTAAAATCAAACCCCATTATTCACTGGGTCGACTTCAACCCAAACTCGAACCTAAAATGACTCGAATTGAACTTGCATTGAACCGATATGACCGACATTTATGTTTGTGACATCGAGGCCCATTTTGGCATTCCAACTTAGTCTTTTCGATCAAAATGTTATCTAACAAGAACGTTTAACTTTTGTGCTTTTTTACATTAATCTACATTGTTAAAAATAATACAAATTAAAACAGTAACGCTAGCTAATTGAAAAAGTTGTTCTCAAACGAGTCTATAATGAGTAAGCTAAAATGAAAAAAATACTACTTCCTCCATCGCAAAAAAGATTCTCATTTGACTTTTTATATATGATCGATATCCAATGTTACACTTACTTTGACTATTAATATCTATGTTTAATTTAATTTATATATAAATAAATTATACTAAGTCCGTCTCAGTGTGTGTACATATTTGTCTAATATAACTTTTTGAGATCAAACTGCGTAAACTTTGAAAATCAATAAAAGAAAAATAGTAATGTGTATTAATGCATGTAAAAATGATTTAATTAGTTTCAACTTGTCGTATTAGACCTGCTTGGGTCAAGTGGAAGATGGCTTAAGGGGTACTCTATGATAAGAAGATTTCGGCAAGAATGAAAGGAAAGTTCTACATGTCCGTAATGAGACCAGCCATGCTATACGGAGCAAAGTGTTGGACAATTAAGAAAACTCATATTTACCAGCTACATGTTGCAGAGAAGCAGATCCTATGTTGGATGTGTGGGAAGATGAGATTGGATATGATTCAAAACAACATTATTCGTGAACGGGTGGGAGTGGCTTCTGTGGAGAGTAAGTTGCGGGAAGCTAGCTAGGTTGAGGTGATTTGAGCATGTGAAACGTCACGGTAATGAGGCTCTAGTGCGGAGATGTGAGAGACTTTATGTGGTGGGCAGGAATTTAGGAAGAGGTAGACCTAAGAGAAATTGGAAAGACGGAGATATGATTTTAGATAGAAGTGTTTGGAGAGATGAAATTAAGATATAGTTGGGTAGTATGGTGGTAGCTTTCGTGCTTAAGAATGTGTGCTTTTTTTTTGCCTACTTTATGTTTCTTTATGTGTGCTTCTATATTATTCGAGCGGGAGGTTTCTTAGAAACAATCTCTATACTTTCGAGCAGAGGAAAGGTCTGCGTACACACACCCTCTCCGGATCCTACTTCCGCGAGATTCGACTGGATTGTTGTTGTTGTTCCAACTTATTTAAAACTTTTAAGATTTTAATTCAATGTATCAACATACAATAAATTTTACTCAAAAACTACAAACTGGATTGGAATGAAAGGAGCACTAAGTACAAAATATACTCTATAATATTTTAAAAATACATTTCAAGACAAATCAAATGACAATAAACATACATTTTTGTTCAATATTTTTTTTCCTCAAATTTGAGGTGTAAGTTTCACGAAAAGTCAAATAATTTTTATTTGGAACAAATGTTTTTTTTGGCTCCAAACTTGGCCAGGTCAACGAACTCATCAAGAATTACATATGGCCGTTGGAGATTTGGGAGATCCCAACGCACTCCCACAGTTCCATTCCCCGCCAAAGGCGCGCCATTCTCATTGTTTTCCGGAAGAAATTGCCGTTCCCGACCTCCCAGTCACAAAAGCCACATTTCCTCGCCGATCCGTTTAATCCGTACTGGATCTATCCATCTTCGTTCTTCTAATTAGGGATTTCAGATCGAGAAGACGAGAAAGTAATTAGTTCGATGCAGTAGAAATGGTACGTTTTTTGTTTTAGTTCCTCTTTCGATTGTGTTTCCGTGTGGCGTCGTCATGTATACCATTACACGCTCGATCCCAGTGCAGGGAACTCCAGTAGATGTCGTGGTAGGTTCCCAGGTTTGGGTCGAGGATCCGCAGTTTTCTTACATCGATGGAAGAGTATCAAGTATTGATGGACAGGATGTTGAGATCCAAACGTCCGATGGACGGAAGGTAATTTCAATTTCGATTTCAATTTGACAATTTGATTCCGGAAATGCATGGATTGGATGCCATCTTTGTCGCGAATTAGGGCTTTCTGGGATAGATGTTCATATATACCTTCTTCTGCAGTTTTCTTAATTAATGCAGTGTTTTAGTCTTGATTTGAATGTCATCGATTGCACCGTAAATTAAATGATATTTCCGGCAGAATAATCACTTTGAAACTGGCTTTGATGACATGACCAATCTTGTGCTCTTGTTGCTCCAGGTTGTATCAAATCTATCAAAGGTTTATCTCAAAGATGATGATACTCCTGAAACTGGTTTCGATGACATGACCAAGCTCTCGTATTTTCATGAACCCGAGATTTTGCATAACTTGTCAAGAAGATATCACCTAAAAAGTTTTTATGTAAGATTTCATTCGGGGTTTTAATTTGTATTCAAAATTTGAAGATGTTATGAATTACCATAGCTGCAAGCCGCTTTGTTATAATATCATATCATACTGTGACATTCTGGCAGACCTATACTGGAAGTATACTAATTGCAATCAATCCATTCCAAAAACTGCCTGATCTGTATGATGTCAGTACAATGGAACAATACAAAGGAGCATCTCGCGGGGAACTCAGCCCTCATGTCTTTGCAATTGCTGACATTGCTTACAGGTAACTTTTCATTCAACAGTGATTTTTTCATGAAAACAATGCAAAACTCACTGAAGATAAACAGGGCAATGATCAATGAAGGCAAAAGTAACTCTATCTTAGTAAGCGGTGAAAGTGGTGCGGGTAAAACCGAAACTACCAAAATGCTCATGCAATACCTTGCGTATCTTGGAGGCCGAAAAGGCACTGAAGGGAGAAATGTAGAACAACAAGTTTTGGAGGTAAGCTGATCTCTAGCATTATTCTGGTTTTTAAGATTTACTCATATCATCAGGTTATACAAAATATTCAGCATATTTCCTGCACTTAACATGTTATATCATTTGATCCAAGATGTAAGGTAATGAGGATAAGGGACATGACTCGCCAGAGTTAATTCAGTAGTCTACCTACTCAACCCACGAATCTTTAATCATTACACAAAGCATATGCTCTATTTCACCATTCATTTTTATAAATAACTTAACATGTCTTAAGCTCTTACTCTATTCAGACTATCGTGTTTCTCAATTACTTCAAGTGTTGCTCTATGTTTCCTCTTTTACTTAGATATTACTCCTCCCCATCCCACAAAGAAAGTCCTCTATCCGTTTTGGGCTGAATATTAATTCTTCATTTCCATATATACCTCTAATAGTGTATCTTGGTAGTTACCCCCATATCATGTCCATTACTAATAGAGCTAAAAAAAATCATTATTGACAATGTTATAATTCCATGCAAATAATGGACTAAATCAAAATGACTTATTAAACTTTCCTTAACTCTTATTTTCTATGAAGTTTTGGGTAGTAGATGAAGCAATGCATTAATGGTCTAATGGAAATAGTCTCTCTCTTTTTTTAAGGATAAGAGTGTGTACATCGTGACCACTTAGACCCTGACATAGCTAGGAAAATAATGGGTTTGTTGTTGTTTTGGTACTACCCCAGATGTACTCGTAATGAGTAACGACCTATGTAGTATAATGAATGAAACAGTAGGCTATATATGGAGGCAGAGGTGAAATATAATGTTCTAATGATAATAACTATCATTTCTTAGTGTACATGATGATAACTATAGACCTATATTTGTGTGGTGGAGTGAGTAATATTATATAATGGTTCTTATTAATCCATTCATTGATTTATGCTGAATTTGCATGAACTGCCTCAACCAATTTTCTCACAGCATGCCCTCATTTATCTACACAGATACAAATAATGTATATTGAAATGTGGATCTTTCTTGTTATCCTTTTGAACTTGATATGTATAATTCTAGGGACCCAATTGTGGTGGTTGCTGCCTCACTGCCTCAGTAGTTGAGTGCGAGCTATTATGCTACTATGTGAACTAGAAAGTCAAGGCAATTATAATGGGAACAAATGCTTGGCTGTAGAAATGTGTTACAATTAACAAATTGATGACAATATTTATATTCACTTGTGTCATGAACTGTCAAATGGTCAACTAGGTTGAAAGATATTGGATGGAGGCTTATTGAGAATGAGATATGTTTCCAAATTTAGTAGGTGGTTTCAAATGGTGAATCCTTAATGTCTCTATGCTTTCTCTAACTTAGTTAAACTCTTTGCATTTTTAGTTAAAGTTTTTTTACTATAGTCCATAAAACAAGGGAAGAGCTGTAAGCTTCTACTTTGTAGTTTCCCTTTAAAATGCTATGCTTTCTTGTCATAAGTTAGTATTCAACTCAAGCTTTACTAACACGATTGCAGTCAAATCCAGTTCTTGAAGCATTTGGCAATGCGAAAACTGTTAGAAATAATAATTCCAGGTCAGATTTGTTACCCTCATATATGAATAAATGAATGATTGATTTCATCATTTCAAAATAAAGAAAAATCAGCAATGTTTGGTTCTGCTTTGTTAATGCAGCCGCTTTGGGAAATTTATTGAGCTTCAATTTGACAACTATGGGAGAATATCTGGAGCAGCCATTAGAACTTATCTCCTAGAGAGATCTCGTGTTTGCCAAGTATCAGATCCTGAGCGAAATTATCATTGTTTTTATCTTCTTTGTGAAGCACCAGAAGAGGTAAACCATCTGACCCTTCTGCACATCATAATATCTCATACTCCGTCAGGATTTAGCTATCCACTTTTTTGTTTTTGCCGGAATTAGTTGTTCACTTTCTTAAAGAAATTATGGTCGATGAATTGTCTAAAATATTCTTCAGATAGGGTATGAATGAGTGACAAATTCATTTGAAGGACTGATTTGACAGTTTAATCTCATTTCTTGAAAGTTAGATTTTTAGAAATTGGACAACTAAATATGGACGTATGGAGTATTTGGTAATTCTATTTGTTGATAAAAATATGCTTTTTCAATTCTTAACAGGATATCAAAAGATACAAGTTAGGGAGTCCGAAATCATTTCGTTACCTGAATCAATCAAATTGCTATGAACTAGTTGGTGTTAGTGATGTTCATGATTATCTTGCAACAAGAAGAGCAATGGATATTGTTGGTATTAGTGCAAAAGAACAAGTATTGTTGTCCTATCACTTCGTCTGCTCATTTTCATCTTTGTTTTGCTTTCAAAGTCTGCTAGATATTATACTTTCCATCCCAGGAAGCAATATTTAGAGTTGTGGCAGCGATTCTGCATCTTGGAAACATTGAATTTACCAGCAATAGTGAAAGTGACTCATCAGTTATTAAGGATGAGAAATCAAAGTTCCATCTTCAAACAACATCAGAGCTACTTATGTATGAGCAGCCTTAATATTTATTTCGTTGGTGTACTATCTTTTTGTTATATGAGTGAGTCATTTTTCTAATTCTTTATCTTTTTATCAGGTGTGACATTAATGTACTTGAAGATGTTCTACTAACGCGATCTTTGGTCATCCCTGAAGATGTTATCAAGAAGCGTCTTGATCCTAATAATGCAGCAGCCAGTAGGGATGCTTTAGCAAAGACTATATATTCTCGCTTATTTGACTGGTATCTCTGTTATTATGATTAAATTGTTAATATAATGTGCCACATGCTGCTGCAACACTAAGGACACACATTTTCATACAGGTTGGTGGACAAAATTAATAACTCTATTGGACAAGATCCAAAATCAAAGTCACTAATTGGCATTCTTGACATTTATGGGTTTGAAAGTTTTAAGAGTAATAGGTACGTATGGGATTTTAATTTTCAACAAATCTGTATACTGATATAGTGATATACCATCCATACTATAAAAAAGACGTGCGCTGTAAATTTTCACTGTTTGTTAAGTTTCTCTAGAACAACCTCAATAAAAGTTGTCTTCATGGGTGACCAGAGAGCTGTTTCATGTCCTTAAAACTTTTTTTAAAACTAAGTTATTCTCTTTGTCGTTTCTAGTTTTGAGCAATTCTGCATTAATTATACAAACGAGAAGCTGCAACAACATTTTAACCAGGTATATATTTGATGTTGCATCATAATCACTTTGGTACTTTTTGTACGAAGTCACTTAAGTTCTGTGGTTTATTCCAGCATGTGTTCAAGTTGGAGCAGGAGGAATACACAAATGAAGGGATTGATTGGAGCTATATCAAATTTGTTGATAACCGAGATGTTCTAGATCTTATCGAAAAGGTTCATTCATTTCCTTTTTGTAATGGCATTCCCGCTGTGAATATGTGATAAAGCACAGGGATACACATAGACACAAACATATATGCCACCCAAAAAGGACAAGTACATTCATATACATATTTGTGCACATCGACACACACGTGTGTGTAAGTATTTATATTTATATGTGTTATGAGTTAGTGTTTATATCATTATATGTGTGGTACATATATACATGTGCACACATGCATGTACTTGCACGTCAATGTATACCTGTTGATAAATAATTATGAAGTACAGAGTATGACATGACTAAATGAGTATGGTTTCAGCATATACTATATAAAAGTACTCATCTATGGTTATTGACTTTCAAATGTTCGAATCAAAATTAAGAAGTTATGCTTACTTATAATGAGTGTATACCAAAATCAATGAGCATTTATTCAGTCACAAAATCCGTACTCATCCATGGAAATATATCTCTGTATTTATTCCCTCAAATTTATTCTTTCTTTGGCTATTTCCCATTTAAAAATGAGTGCTACAGAGCTAATGCTTTTATGATGGGCTGATTTCTTGTATTAACTTCTTAAAGATAATTTTGTATTCTAGACCTTTCTTTTATACTTGCATTAGTCCACCGGTTGACATAAGGTTTTCATGAAATGCTATCATCAGAAACCTGGAGGGATCATTGCTCTTCTTGATGAAGCATGGTATGTTCATAAACTTCAGTTTCATGTGCATTGCTTGCCATATTTTCTATTTATGATCTTTTGACCGTATGTGCAAAGACCATTCTAACTGATGTTCTCTCTATGAATTCTCCTGTATCCAGTATGTTTCCCAAGTCAACTCATGAAACTTTTTCACAAAAGCTTTATCAGACTTTCAGTGGGCACAAACACTTCATCAAACCAAAACTAGCTCGTAGTGAATTTGCAATTGCTCATTATGCAGGAGAGGTACATTTCCTCTTTATTGTAAAAATGTCAATTGGTACATGAGCATGACTGAGAGTCAAGTTAAATTGGCAGGTTCTATACCAGTCTGATCAATTCTTGGATAAGAACAGAGACTATATTGTTCCTGAGCATCAAGGTTTGCTAAGTTCTTCTAAGTGCCCATTTGTGGCAGGACTCTTGCCCCCTCTTTGTGAGGAGACAAGTAAACTTTCCAAGTTTTCATCTATTGGTTCTCGTTTCAAGGTAGTATGATTTACCGAATTACAGATTTCTTAAGTTTTTAGCGCACCTAAAGTTATGAATATATGTCGACTCAACCGAGGCAGTTGCTATCAATAACTAGTTATAATTTATTGCTGAAGCTACAACTCCAACAATTGATGGACGTTCTTAATTCGACTGAACCTCATTATATCAGATGTATGAAGCCAAATAATCTCCTAAAACCTTCCGCTTTTGAGAATGCCACCATCTTGCATCAACTTCGTTGCAGTGTGAGTACACATTAACAGTTGCATACAAATAATTTCCATAATTACGAAATGTTTAGTTACATCACTCCGTTTTCCTTATTGCAGGGAGTTATAGAAGCAGTTAAAATCAGTTGTGCAGGCTACCCTATGCGTAAAACATTCTTTGATTTTCTTAAGCGGTTTGGTATTCTTGCTCCAGAAGTATTGGTTGGGACGTAAGTTCAGTTACCGTGTTCCTCATTCAAGAATCAAAAAAATCTTTTTGCAAATTTTATGACTGTAGGTGCAGTTTAATTCTTGCTGCGTGGCTTACATGGCCTCTTAGTTTTGATTTTTTCATGGACAGTTATGAAGAAAAAGAGGCTTGCGAAAAGATTTTGGATAACATGGGGCTTCCTTGTTCTCAGGTTATAATTGGTTAATGTTGAACTGCAGCGGTTGACCATATTTTAGTCATATTTGTTTGACACTGTTAGAGTGCATCCCACATCGGAAGTCCAAGAGTAAAATAATCCGGTATATAAGCTCTTGAGTTAAACTAACTAATAGATTGGATTCAATCTTTTAATGTGGTTCAACCCAAGTGTCTTATTACCCCATCCAGTTGTCCATACCCATCCCAAATTCTATCATGGTACAAGAGCAGGTTTTGGCACACCTCATTTGTCAAGGTGTCCGTCTAGAGGTTTATTCCTAGCGGCCCGTTTGTCTTTAGCCCAGTTGCCCGTATGGAGTATGGACCCAACGGCCTGGGCCCCGTTTAACACGATTGCTCGTCTTGATGTCCATACCCAGCAGCCCGTGGTCCTTTAGGTGTTGGCGCTCAAAAAAAATTAAGGGAATGGGAGTTCATTTTCAAGTGGTCAACCGGTTAGATTCAAAATGGCCCGGTTGTCCACTTGAGGGGGAGTGTTAGAGTGCATCCCACATCGGAAGTCCAAGAGTAAAATAATCCGGTATATAAGCTCTTGAGTTAAACTAACTAATAGATTGGATTCAATCTTTTAATGTGGTTCAACCCAAGTGTCTTATTACTCCATCCAGTTGTCCATACCCATCCCAAATTCTATCAGACACCTTCAATCATTTCTAGCCAATATACATCCTTTTGTTATCGAAGCAATATCTACCTGCACATCAATATATGATTGTATATTCAAGTAATTGAAAATCTCCCAGAAGTGTATTTTTATTTTTAATTTGTAAGGCACATAAAAAGAAAAAATATTTTTTTTTCTTTACTTTGCTTGATATTGCTTTGCTTACTTGCACACACATTTTATCAGCTTGACTCTTTTATTTTAAACCAAGTTTGGATGGTTTATTGTTATTTCCATATGGATATATAAACTAACTCGGGCAGTGATAAAAGCAGTTTGAACTATTATTCTATATGGTGGCATGTGATGTGTCTCACCAGTTGTTTTTTTCTTTTCCTTCATGCGGTACTATATGGTGACATGTGATGTAGTTTGCCACTTGTTTTATTCTTTTCCTTCACGCGGTACAGGCTCTTGATTTGTGAATCACACGTACTAAATGGAGTTAGTTATTCTTTTCATGTGCAGATTGGTAAGACGAAAGTCTTTCTTAGAGCAGGTGATATGGCGCAACTGGAGGCAATGAGGGCTCAAAAACTCAGCCGTGCAGCTATGAGAATTCAAAGGAATATTAAAAGCCGTATTGATCGGAGATACTTTCTGGATTTGCAAAAGGCTGCAATTTGTATACAGTCTTCTTGCCGAGGTTTGAACTTTTCATTTGAAGAATATATTATGAGGCATCCACTGCCAATGGACCTAAAAAAGCCATCATTGCTAATGTTCTAGTTTTGAGTAAATACTGGACTAAATCAAATGGCATATTAAACTTCCCTTCTCACTTTCTATGTAGTTTTGGGAAGTAAATGCACCAATGCGAAGAGTTTAACAGAAACATACTCTATGTCTTGACCCCAGACCCAATGGAGTTGGGATTATACTAGTCTGTTATTGTGGCTAAATAAGAACTTAAGAAGTCATTAAACATTTAAACAAGCACTGTATCGATCTTTGATAGCTTTGCCATTTAAAGGTAATTTTTATTTATCACTGTTTTCTCCTATATTTAACAGCCAGGCTTGCTTGTGAATTGTGTGCAACCATGAGAAAGGAGGCATCTTCTCTCAAAATCCAGAGAAATTTTCGTGGACATTTTGCGAGGAAGTCCTATGTGAAGCTTAAGTCTGCTGTCATTATTCTTCAGAAAAGAACACGGACATTAGCTGCATTCAAGAATTTCAGATACAAATATCAAAATAAGTTTGCAATTACTATACAAGTTAGTTACTGACTTCATGATTTATCCCTTGGCTCAGAGATCGTGATGTTATTTAGTTCCTTAATTAAATTGGATATCATCATCTTCTTTTTTTGAGGAATTGGATATCATCTTTGCAGGCCCATTGGCGTGGTTATAGAGCCTTCTTATACTATAGGAGACTAATAAGGGCATCAATTGTAATGCAGTGCTACTGGAGAGGAAGGGTTGCAAGGAAAGAGCTTCAAAAGTTGATGGTAGGATAAAACCATCTAATTAGCTTCATTACCCATAAATCTCATCATTTATGTTTAGTCATGAAAATAGAGGCCGCGCCTTGTATCCGATCTTGAAGGCTGAAGTGGTTAAATACCAGTGATTTGGAATTTCATATAATTAATCTGATATAACACGGTAACAGCATTTCCCCAGACCCTACTCTTGTGGGATTCAACTGGGTTGTTGTTGTAACACGGTAACAGCATTGTGACAGGAAGGGCATGTGCCATTCTTTTTCTTGAATGTATAGTGTGGAGTATTAATTAATTCTAGACATTAAATTGACCTTATTTTATGCCACCGACCCAACATATTTGGGATTAAGGTAATGTTGATAATATCAGTTCAACAGATCTATATGCTCTGTGAAAGTAGTGCAAGAAGAGGGAAGTCAGCGTGTTATGCATTTTCTTCTGCTTTAATAAGTGGTTATTGTGAGCATAGAGCATAAATTGTTCTAATCGAGTTATTAGAGGCTCCAAAATAGGCAGTTGCCTTTTTCCTGCCCGATATCATGGAAATATCGTTAAAACCCATCTGAATCTAAAAACTATTCCGTGTATTATAACTTCATAGTTTACTAAGATAACTTGTAGCCTTAATCAATTGTTACTTTTTTCCCTTCATGACTACCATATACGAGTAGTTTCTGGAAATTTGGCATGCCCATATGATAAAATATGTTTAATACACTTCAACTACCCCTTGTTTTGACTGCATTAACTCATATTTTTGGAAAGTGTACTAAATACATTTTACGCACCTGGCGCACATGATAAAATAAATCACTTTGTTTTTTGAATTGCCTGACATATGTTTCTGATATCTTTAGGTTGCAAGAGACACAGGTGTGGTTGACAAAGAAAAGGATGGGCTTGAACACCAGGTTAAAGAACTTGTGTGTTTTGTGGAGTTGGAGAAATGACCAAGAGTAGTAAACATTTATTCTGCAGATGCTTGGTCTTGCCAGCCCATTGACAGAACTTTTCAATTATGTGCAGATGAGTTTGGAAGATGCAAAGAAGCAGGATTCATCAGTCCCTTTTGTAGATACAGAAAAGATCAATGCTTTAACCGCAGAAGTGGAAAGATTAAAGGTCAGCTGACTACTATTATCCCTTAAGTAGCTAAGTTTATATTTTTGTCTTCATAAGCTTATTTCAAACTTTGCCTTTGCCAATATTTCTTGACAGATTCTATTGCAATATGAAAAGCAACGTGCAGATGAATGTGAAAGGAAATGTGCAAAAGCTCTAGAATCAAGTGAAGAGAAGCGTGTGAAGTTGGAAGAATCGGAAAGAAGAGTTCACCGACTTCAGGAATCACTGAACATGTATGTTTTCTTCCAGCTATCATGTAATTAATTACTACTCCGTATTAGGTTTGAACATAATTTAATTAACCAAACATATGCAATATATCCAACCCAAGAGTAGGGTCTGAGTTAACACAACAATTTACCCCGTATATTATATTACCAATAGGTTTTATGTGGATAGCCCACTCTGAAGTAAGGGTTAGGGGGATGGGATGCACTAAGAGCTTAGCTCTGCCTCAAGGAGAGTGCTATTGGATGATAAATTGTATGGAGAAAATGGAGGAACTGAATTTTTGCACAAGGAACCCATAAAGATCTTATGGCTCCGATACCAATGATAGAACTAAAGAGTTGTAGGGAAATAAATAAAGGAAAGTCTCTATCAGATTATGAAATCAGGATCTAACTCTATAAAATAGTAAAGATGAATGAAAATCTTTATCAAAATATGAGCAAGAATTTACAAATATTGAATTACTTTCTAGATAACATTTAAAAATAATGAGCTTCAATATTTATAGAAGCCAAATAACTACCAATCCCTATAATTTAGGGCCACTACCACATTAGCTAGTAACTATTCCTAGACTTTAGACTCACTACCACATTTGACATTACTTAGCAACCACTACTAGAAGCCAAATAACTACCAATCCCTATAATTTAGGTCCACCTAAACATTATTTACTACTTAGTATATATAAAATAATATATTTGATCTGTTAAACTAATGACCCTAACAGACTCTATTATAAATATTAATAACATAAAATAAATGGATATGTGGCACTGTATCATGTTGGGTTAATGTAGTTGGAAACTTCTATCTTTTAAAGATCAAAGTATAGAAACAGGCTGCGCAGTTACATGCTTATTGCATTTATATTAAAATAAAGAAGGCTTCATGTGTCATATGTCTACAAAACAAACCTCAAAACCCAGTATAATCCCAACTTTGTTGGGGTCTAGGGGTCAAGGTTTACACATCCTTACTCTTAGTCGTGTAAAATAGAGAGGTTGTTCCCAGCTTCCCATTTGACCCCATTTGCATTGCTGCATTTAGTACCAAAAACATCATAAAAGTAGAATTGTAAGAGTAAAGGAAGTTTTATGTGACATTTCTATTTAGACCATTATTTACTAGAAATTAAAACTTTATCAATGACTCTTTCAGCTCCATTGACAATAGGCGGAATGTGTTGTGTGACTAATACTGAATATGATCTAGTGTGCCTCAGGATGTTATGCAGCATATCAGATCAATTCTCAGAGCTAAAATTGATATTAAGTGCCTCATCCAGCTCAAGTTCAACTTCCGGATTCATTTCTAGTGGCCATCATGGTGATGCTACAACTTCCTCTAACACTGATGCCACAACACCCACATTTCCAGATCTTGCTTCAACGTCAGCACCCCCATCTTCCCCTGATCCCGCCACTTTCCAGCTTATAGTTCAAGATCTTTCAGCAGCAGAAATAGCAGGTCAGCCCACGTTGCCTAGATTTGGTTGAACTTGTTGGATGTCCTAGTTAGGCTAGAATCCATTTGTATTTCACTCCCAGATCCTCATACATCTCAACCTTTAAATCCCAAAATGCATATTTTCGTCAAAGTTCTCACCCTATGTCAGAACTTTTTTTCTTTTCACGCGAATATCAAGAATTGACCTCACAGCTCCCAAGACAGTGATATATATCTCAATAGATTCACTATTTTAGTTGAATGTTGCACTAAAAACCTTTAGTGTATAATTCACTTCTGTTCATGGTTGCATTTTGCAGGATATGAAAACTGTGAAAGTGACCGGGAAGGGGCATTCGATGACTTCTTCTAAGGGAAAGTTACCTTTGAACATTTTTGCATATGGTCTTGTTAACAATCGTGTATTCTCAACCAGAACTAGGCTGTTGTTGTTATCTGCATGGAGAGTTCATCATGCCATGTACAAATATTCTTTCAACGGAATCTCTTGTACAGCATACTTGTTAGGGAACTCATAACCATCGACCCTCCTCTGCTTGCCTTTGAATGGGATATCCGTTAAGGTTTCATCTTCTTCCTAGATCAACTCTTATAGATGAAATCAAATGCAATTATCAAAGTTCATGTTATATGCCAATGGCTTAATCTTTTTCAATTCATGTTTTGTACCTAGAGAAGAACCGTGGATAGGTGATCATCTTCCTACGTCCTATATTTTCATCCCTTGTGTTCAAAACTTCAAATGTTTTATCTCCTATATTACTCTTAAACTTGTGTTACAAATCAAACTCAGGGTGAATGGGGTTCCCCCCTCCCACTTCAGTTCCAGTGGAAGGGCACATAAAGCTTCTCCAAGATGAAGGCCCATTGCATTCTGCATTGAGGAGGAAGACCTGTTTCTGTTTTCATTACCTGCAAAGACCTCAGTAAATTGCGGGGACCAGAAGTTAATGGGACCCATATTATTGACTAGATAATTCAATAACGGGCAAATCTTCAATGAAGGTAGGAAGTGTTTTTTCTTGTTTCAGTTCAAATCCTATACTTTTTTGAATTCAAGACCCAATATAGATATCTGGCTTGTTTTCCAGTGCATTGACTTTGCTGTTGCTGCAGCATACTTGTCAGCTACAATATTTTTAGAGAACTTTAATGGTATGACTAATTCAATTTTGAATGATTTTTATTGCCTCTACAGTGACTATTTATATAAACACACTCAAGTTAACCACCTTTCCACCATTCAGCAACATTATCTTTGCTTGAGTTTCCAAGGAACAATTAAGGAAACAACCTTTGCATCCTTCAGCTTGAAGTAATACCCATTGCTTGAAGGTTGCTTGGACCATTCGGCAACTCATCCGGCTGTCAAACATGATCTGACAGCTTGCTTGGAAACTACCTGAAGTGATCCATGGTTAATTTAATGAAATATTTCTTCATTGCTCGGAGCATTGAGGTATTTTCCATTGATATAAAAAGTAACATTCCGTATTTAAAAACTATATCAAAAATTCTTTAAAACAAGAGGTGGCTTGACTATGTCACCGTAACAACTGATTTTTAAAAAATATGGTTCGATCACATCAATGGTGAATGGGACCAGCATAATCTTTTTTGTGGATGCATTTGATCATCTACGAGATGTCCGAGAAGACGGAAGATGATTGAGCACAACTTTGTGTTGCTAGATGGTGATGTAGAAGTTATCATTAATAGCATTCTGGCTTCCAGGCCCACTGACTGATCAGACACATTGAGCCGGGAAGAAGAATAAAGGTAAACTGGCTTTATTTTGTAGCACGTTTTACTTTCAAAGACACAAGAAAAAAACTTTATGTACTCATTTAAAAATACATGATTATTAACCACTTATTGTCTTTGAATATGTAGGTTGTATGGAAATGATAATATAAAGGTATAGGGTAACCTTGGCAAATATTTTTTCTCAAGTATGCAGGGAATAAATAACCAATATTTCCATAATTAAGAGTACGAGTAACATATAATTATACCAAAAAGTTAATACAAAAAAAGGACCAACCAAATTTGAATATTTGTGCTAGTTGAACGTTTGAAACTATTTTGAAGTTCTTAGTTCGCAACCTAGTCCTAAGAAGAAACTTTTTTGGAGTTCTTAGCTTGCAACCTAGTCTTAACAAATGTGTTCTTTAGCGAGGCACTTTGAATTATGAAAATGGACTAAAATAGACTTGCCCATTTGTAGTAGAATCCTTCTTTCTTCGCATCGGCTGTCGTTTCTAGGCAATCTAACCACACAGGTCTGTTGGATTTTTTTGTTCATTGTCAATGGAGCTAAAAGAGTCATTATTGAGAATGTTTAACCTCAGGTAGATAATGGACTAAATGAAAACAATACTCCGTACGTTAAACTTCATTTGCTTTTTTTAAACTGCATCAAAGATTCAAAGAATATATTGATCACCAAAAAAAACAAGTCATACAAACACCATCCCAAGCAAATCACCACATACAAAACAAACCCATGCTAGGTAATATACGCATATTTCATTTTACTATTGATATAACACTTGAAAGAAAACCAAACATTAACAGTGCAATCCTCCACCTTTGTTGTCTCATTCAAATGCAGCTTCTTATTTCTCGTTTTCCATACCGCATAGCATACTGCTGCCCAAGCAGCTATCCAGATTGCTCTCTCCCTTCTACTGCCCACCTCCTTCAGCTTTTCACAAGACTACTTCAAGGTAGCAGCCTGTATACTGCATCCTAAGGGACCCATGATGCTGTTAAACACATTGTTGAAGGGCAAACCCAGAACAAATGGTTGGAGTCTTCCTCTCCATTGTCACACAGCAAACAATCCTTATTGATTTGGAGGAACTTGCTAAGTCTTCTTCTAGTCTGTAATCTGTCATGCATAAGTAGCCAAACATTGTACTGGTGTTTTGGAATAGAAAGTCTAATTCCAAATCAAACTAGCCCATTCATTCTTAGGCATATGTCCCATGAGCCACATATACCCCTTCTCATGTGAGTACTCATCTACTAAAGACATATTCTCAAATTCCTTCCTTACTCTAACCATTCTTCTCCAATAATAACATGCATCATGCTTGGGCGAGTAATATCTTCATTTGCTTCTTACTTTCTATGATGTTATGGGTAGTAAATGATTTCATGCTTCAACGGTCTGACGGAAACCTCTTGGGGTAAGGCTGCATATATTGGATTGTTATTATTGTTGATCATGAATCAATGGAGATTCTGAGTTCAATTTAACCTCATTTCAACAGAGTATGAAGGAAAATACTCTGTAGTATTCTAAAACCTTCTGTTTTTTAGAATGGCTCCATTTTGCTACACTTGCGCATTCACACTGAGATGTTCATATTATATTTTCGAGTTGCTTTTCAGTTATATTTATTGCATTTTAATCATGGCAGGGATTTTAAATAACAGCAGTTTGAAGTCAACTGCGATGGGCTACCCTAAGCTAAAACATTTTCTTGGGTTCCTTAAAATGGTTTGTTCTTCTTGCTCCAGAAGTGAGGCAGGTACAGTTATTTGTGTCGTCTTTTTAGAAGACCAGTTGTATATTGTGATTCGAGTTCTGTTGAATTGTCCACTCCCCGGTTTCTCATACCGATCCCTTGCTGGTTTTCAGTTTTGTTTTTTAAAGCACAGAAAGAACTTGCAAAAAATGGGGCCTGGCTGCTCTTTCGGTATGAGAGAAAAGGCCTGCACAAAGCATTACAACCAAAAGCGTCTTCTTAGCGAGGTATTAAAACCTTAACCTTCAATTTGTTCGCCAAAAGTTTTTTGCTTAAACATTGCCTCTGCTTGTTAAGGTCAAGTAAACAAATTTGGCTCCGAGAAGTGTGTGAAGGGCTCTTATGTCAAATTGGCATAACAAATGTGCAATTCTTCTTGAGAAAATCGACGAGCATTCACTCTCAAAAAGGAGAATTAAACGGCTTCAGTTTCAGGAAAAAAACTGGCAAAAGGGATTTGTACATTTTTTTAAGGAAGTATAATTTATGCTTTCACTGCACAAAAACGGTCTTTTTTGAACTGTTATTCGTATGTTTGTCCAACACATAACACAAGGATCAAATAGTTGATTGAGAAATACTCTCTTCGTTCTAGTGTCTCTAATTGATTTTTTTGCAGTCAAATAGGTCAAACTTTGATGATCAATTAAATAAATATCAATATATTTTTTATTAATAAAATGAAATAAAATAATTTTTAAAAATATATATTTGATAAGATAAATATAATTAAATTATTTGTATACTAATATACATTCCCTCCGTCTCATTTTAAGTTGTATGTTGCTCACGATATTTGACTGAATTTATACTAAAATTGAGATAGAATAAAAGATACTTTGTAAAGTTTACTACATCGAAAATTCTATAAAAAAGAGATAACATAATTATATTATTTTATCAAATGAAAGTTACTCCGTATTAATGATTGACACTGTGAATAGTAAATATCCAACTTAACTTCAAAAACTTAAACTGAACAAATACATTATTACAAAGGCAGTAATTAACATTAATTCAATGTAACTAGGAACTACACTAACAATGCATTGGGAAGCAGAGTTTGAAATTGCATTGGTAAGAACCCTGAACAAATAATTATTCATTGTAAATAAGAATTAGTCTAACAAAAACATGGAAAGGAAACATTTTCAGTTGTCCACACATAATCTAAAAGCTCATATCACTATTGTTATTACACAAATAAAAACAGAATACCAAATACACGCGACACTATCCTTCTGTTAGTAACAAAATTATTTTTGATCCCGATCACACAATGATCCCAGGTGATATTAGCTGCATCAGTGACAATAGTACATCCATGCGATGCACTGCTCGATTTTCCTGCCCCTGAAGAATATATATATATAAGCTGTTACAATCTCATATCGAAGCACTAAGTACCACTGGTCGAGTGTTTGTCACACATATAGGTTGTGGGTCGACATTGGTGTAAACGAGGGTGGGAGTTGTTTGAAGGGACTCACAAATTACGTTTAACAATCGCTCAACAGTAAATTTAGATTAATGAAGCCTTAAGTTGAACTAGAAAGAGCATGCTTGTCTTCTCGCTCAGTAACCTTATTCTTATTATAGGAGAATACCTCAACCACAAAGAGCATGCGTGTCTTCTCGCCATAAGCCTCTGCTACCCCTTTGAGTATAGTAAGTTCCAACCTCCTGATGGCTTCTGCTATCTCAAGAAAATGGCTGCAGTCTTTCAGTAACATCTGTGTTCATCACAAATTCACAATAAAAATGTGGAAAAAAACAAAAGAAATCGAGGTTGTTTGCAAAAGACCCTCAGGTTATATCGATTACCTCAACTATCATGTGACCACTTGTGCTCAGATTTTCAACAATTATAGGACAAACTCTCAAGTCACTGCCCACTTCCACTGCCCAGCTTGAGCCTTTCTCCTTACAAGAACGCTCCTTGTGGGTTACCGATTCCCTCCCAAGCCACTGCAATCAAAGAAAGTTTATTAAGTTATTTTATTGTTAAGTTTGTGGGTGCTAACTAGCATCAATAGTGTGAACTGTACATACTAGACAACCAAGCTCACATGGTTAGTTGCTTTTTTAGTCCTTCAGCTGTAGTTACTAACCGAGGTGCTAAACAAGCATTTTACAAAACATTGAAAATTATAAAATATGTAACAATGTGTTCCCTGTTTACCTTTGATGCATTACATTCATTAAGCATTTCATCATGCTTGGTGACACTTTGCATGTAAAGCATGTGTTGGATTGCCCGCTCCAGAAGTGAATCAATACTGCACTGTGAATTATAATTCCAAATAAAAATAATAATTAAATAAATCAGGAAGCATTACGTAGGACATTCCAGAAAGAAAGGTGTGGAGTAGAAACCGACTGACTGACTACCTTTGAACCATTAGGCACCAGGTCTCGCAACTCCTTGATACGTTCTTGAATCAGTTGTCTGTCCCTTGGCCTGGGCCGACAACTCTCACCAGGTTTAGCCCTTTTTTTATTCATCCTTCTTATTGGTTCTTGTTGTCTTTCCAGATGTGCCCCTGAAGAGCTGAACGAATATCCCGCTGAACTTAATGTCCCCACATCACTGCTGCAAGGTTCTCTCACTTCAACAGGTTTTGAGAAAGACTTGGGGACGCTGCTAGCATCGCTCTCCTGGTAACAACTAACATTTCCCACCACTGCTTCCAAAAGATGATCTGTCGTACTCTCACTCATCAACAGACTGCTATCACCCGTTACCTCGGGTTCCATTTCAAATTTTTCCGTTTCCCAAAGAGTGACACCACTGCCCTTTTGAAAAGCAGGTCCTAGTACCTCATAGAGCTCCCATCCAGGATAGTTGTAGCTTAAGGGAGTCTGAATTGTGTTCATATCAGTAGGCTGGAAGGTATTGTTCTCTGGATCTTTATGTAAACTGGCATTTAGAAGATTTGGCAAAGAAAACAATTCATCTGGATCAATAACTTTGTCACTAGTATAATTATACTTCAGACATTTCTCATTATCTTCTAAAATTGAGTCCCTTAAGTAGTTGCTAGCTTGCAATTCACTCATTGTAGGAATAGCTTCCTGCATTTGTACTTCTCTTTCATGTTTGTTAGGTACTTCTTCATGAACTTTATTATCAATGCGAGAATGATGATTGTGTTGCCCTTGTCCAAGAGACGCATCTTCAGAAGAGATGACATTTGTTCCGTTCTCAACACTTCTGCTTTGATTGTTCATGCAATAAAGATATGCCTCAGAACTGGAGGTTCTTGTGTACATATCTGACTGGAAAAGAAGAGAGAAAAGGAATAAATTATTTCCGCTTTTGGTCCCACGGATCATTAAGTCATACCCACTAAAAGTACAAAACCGTGTTCCATCCGTCCCCTAAAAACACTCATGTTTCAAAGTATGGGGAGAGTTATTTTTACCACACAAGTCTCCACATTATTCGGCATTGCACTGTGCAAGTGAGCACCGTCCATAGAACCACGGGCCTCCAAGAAAAAAACATCCCTTATGTCTTTGACCATCTTCAGATTCTCAGGAATCTAATGGACAAAATAAATAAAATAAATACATACATAGGAGGAGAACGCACTCTAAAGCAGAAGATATGACTAGTGAACCCTCCACAGCTCTAAGAGTTTCCCGTGTGCGTGTGTTTGTTGGGTTTTATAGTTAGTAAGGAATAACAATAAGAGTGCAGATGACTCCTAACATTTAAGGAGTGTTGTAGCAGAAATCTCACCTCATCCAAAGATCCAAGCTGTACAGCTCCAAGAGGACCAACCCCCACGACAACTATGGTCTGCAATTTACAAATAGCATATCTGCCATTAGTTAGAGACAGACCTCACCACTTATCGTTAGACCAAGATTATAAATCAATCTACCTCTTAGGAGAAAACTAAGGATGAGGTTCAAATTAAGTAAAATGGCACAACAACCCAGTAGAACCCCGCAACAGCAGAAGAAAAATGGCAAGAATATCAAAATAATGCCTAACCTTAATCCCGGCTGAAAACTGATTTTTCCATCCATCATCGTACTGAACCAAAATTAAAAGAAAGTGTGAAATATCACATTTTAAGATGGGCATTAACTAAGGGAAACAAACATCATTCTATCACAGTCTCACACCTCGAATATGGAGCTCTGGTTCACCACCCATTTATCACTAGAGATCCACAAATGTTTACCACTTACAGCAACTTGTCCTACAATCCTGTTGAAATAAAAACTATGAGGCCTCCCCGTCAGTATTTAGTTGTCCACTTTCTAAAAAATCTCACTTTTAAGAAATAAGCCCTTCAAATGGGTGCCAACCATTTGTGTCTGCGATCCTCGTATCATCTCTAGCATGCTTTAGATAATTCATCATAATTTCTTTATTGAGTATGGAAAGTAGATCATCAATATCGGATAACTAGAAAAAAAAGTAGACACCTAAGTTCAAAGGGAATGATAAGTTTACAACTATACGCATTCTCTACACATAGAAGATTACAAATAACAATGGTTGTTATACTTTCAAGTATCATCACCATACCCTTCCCCTAGAGAATAAACATGATATGACATCTTTGCCACGGCTAAACCAAGAGCATCGTCGTGTGAATGATGCCCATTAGAGAACAACTTCTTCTCATCGTCACCATAGTAGGCATCCTCCCAAGTCAACACCCTGCATGAAGCCCAACAACAACCAAGCCTTAATCTTAATGGAATTGTGAGATTTCATCTCAAAACCAAGTAGCAATGTAGGAGGTAATCTACATTCATCATTCATGTACATTAGTCTGTTTTTAGTCTTGGGTGTTCGTTATGAGACTTAATGCCCTCAACAATATCAACTCAATGGAGTCCACTACACGAACCAATGTAGAGCAAGAAATCTAGAACCTCAAGGTTTGAAGAATGAAGTAGAAATTTAAATTTCAAAAGCAGACAGTAAATATATGAAATGCAGAGTTTGCTAGAATATGAACTCAAAACCCATTAATGGAGAGGGAAAGAAGAAGAGGTGAGAAGAACATACATCCGGGCACGATGCGTGAGCTTCCAGAAAACAGCATACTTCCAAGCAGTGTTGCAGCAAAGTTTCTTGAGAGCTCGGCGCGATTGGAACCCCATATTCTAAAACTTCTCCTCCTCCTTTTTTTCTTTTCAGCCAGCAGAAATTCTAACAATTCTAAAACCCACCCAACAAGAATCCTAAATCTTGAAACCAGGTCAAGTCACAACAGAAATTTGAAACCCTAATTCTTTCCCCCTCCCTCTAAAATAGTTGTCCTACTAAAACCTAACTTCCTCTGTATGATCCTCTCCCAGCTTGTTTCCTCCTCAGCCCTGCTCGCCTCGTTATCGGCGGCCCCTCAGTTGATAGAAGTAGTAGTAGTAGTAGTAAAGAATCTTCATCCCTTCCCATTCCTCACTGCCCACAACTCAAAGACTAAAATTTTCTTCTGCAAATCCCCCAAAAAGAAAACAAAAAAAAAACTAAAAACTAAAAGAAGGTGTTCAGAGAGTAAATCCTTGAAATTGCCCTCATGGTGAAGTCTTTATCAACGTAAGTCAAACGACATTGAGAAACCAAGTCAGAGAGATCATAAAAATCTAATCTTGAAGAAATGGATGGGGCTTTTTTTATTTCTCAAAGTATAGAGGGGAAAAGAAGAAAGATGAAAAAAAAGATGGGTCTTTTTGAAATTCAGCAGTAGGCTTTCTGGGAAGAGTACCTCCGCCGCTTAGGAGCTGACCTCTGAGTCGCCATTAGTTGAAGCTTCTTTTTTAAAAAATAAAAAAAAAAGGATTTTTGGAGAAGGAGAAAGTACGGAATGGTACACAGTGAAAGGGTTGGTTAGAGAGGGAAACAAAGGAAGGAATTTCAGAGCTTATCGGTGTAGGGGTAGCTTTTGAAGAAGACAAAAGAGCGAGTCGCGCGCGCTGGATGCGCACTACTACTAAGGAGTACTGTGTTTTGGATTTATATGCAGACAAGCTAGCTAGCTGCTAATACGGAGTTTTCCTGTTTCAAACCTCCTAACGCGCAACAGAAAGTTTATTTGTGGACGGAGGGAGTACGTCATAAGCCGAGTCCTTTTCAATTAAATCCAATAATTTTCCATTTGAAAAAGTTTGTCTCTAATTTTGAATGTTTCATTAAAAAAACTCCCTACTTTATTCATTAAAACCAAATAGTATCTTTTTTATTTTGTGTGGAACAAATTAAATAGAAGAGTACGTACTAAGTTAAAGGTGTGATGATGCATATATAAGAATAATGAGATCAAATCCTGTGTTCTTTGAGATAGTCTACTCAAATGGCAAGCAATATCATTTCAACACCATAGATATGCTTCTCATCTTCCCATCATTTATATTACCACTAATAATCTCATTGTTCTTTTCACCTTTCTTGTTATTTTCTACAATGCCCTTGATTGTTTAATTTACCACAGTAAAAAAAATCTATATCCGCGTCATCCCGGAGTATTTGGCCACTTTTAATTTTTTTGAAATTGCTAAACTTTGACCCCAAATTAAATAAAAATAATATTAGATATTGATACAAAATAGTTTTAATAGATTTATTATATAAAAAAATTTTAAAATATTATTTTATCTAATTAATATACAGTACATATTTTATTTAATTATAAATCAAATATTGAAAATGATTGAATGAAAAAAATTAAAATTAGACAAATACTCTGAGACGAAAGTAGTATAATATAATTATATCACCTGGTTAATTTTACCTTTTGTTTTTTAAAACATATATAGTGCGAGAAACAACATTAAAAAATTAGTGTTTCTCAAACTATTTTACATAGTGTAGTTTCTAAATTACAAAGTATTACAATGTGTTTCTAACGCTATTTTAGGACATTTCTTCCCCCTAATTTGTCGTGTACAATTCTACTTGAATGTGAATTAATAAAGTAAAATTTGTATATTACATATATATTAGATATTTCTGTAAATTAAAGATGTGAAAAGCACGATGAACATTCAGGTACTAGCACTATCGATCAATTAATTATTTTTTTTTAATAAACCGATCAATCATCAATTAATTAAATATTATTCACAAGTTAATTACTCCATATTTAAACCTTAACAAATATTTTGTGAGTTTTTTTTATTTCCATGCACAAATATAAATAAAGAGTACTCTATTCATTATTGTATACTACCCCATGTATGTTAATTATATTAAGTTATTCAATATATTGATGTTGTGCCACACTAACTAAACATTGTGTTTGGGATCCCATATATGTCATGAATGGACATGCAGTATCATTTCGGATGATTATAGTCATCACCTCCTTTTAATCATTATTAATTATTTTCTTAGTGTAATTTCAACCTTTTTTCTATTTTAACCAATATGCTAATTATATTAGTACAACCAATTTACCAATCACTCCATCCAAAGGGAAAAAAGAACAAGAGACACAAAGGGAAATTATTTGAAACGATATGATTGCATGCTGATAAATCATCCACTAAAACAAATCTAATTCGAAATTTAATTTTAAGGTCAACTGTAAAATATTTGGATTTTTTATAGGTTACTTACTACAAAAAAAATTTGGATCTAGTCACACATTTTTGTTACGGATTGCCCATTGTGCTTAACAAGCTAAGAGTTGTCACGAATTTGTCACGACATCCAACGGATTACAAAGTACGGAGTATCGTATATATATCACAAAGTATACAACAATCTAGTTTGCCCAAGTCAATGGCATTTGTGACAACAATCTTTTTGTGACAAATCATGCATTCACAAATGGTTGGCTTTAAGATTTATACACGGATTACGAATCCGTGACAACCTAATCTTACATTCTGAGCCCGTGACAATATTCATGAGATATTTACCCGTTACGTTGTAAAGTTTGTTACAAGAACCGTGATAAATTCATGTGTTTCATATCTAGATCAGACGAGGAACGCTTACAAAATCCGTGACAACATAATCTGTTTGAATCTTCGTGTTAATTTCTTGACAAGTCTGTAACACGGGCATCTTTTTTTACAATTCTGAGCTCTTGAGTGTAATTTCTAATTGTATTCATAGAGTCATCTGCAAAATTAACAAATATAGAAAGCCTAATTTTTAATTTGTGTTTACTTCATCTACACAATCTCGTTTTCTCCACAAAATTTAACCATAGAGTTTCATAGATTATGTCAATCCCTATTTTCATTTTAGAGAGACTTCAAAATGAGCCAATGAGGGTGACACTTTATTGCACCAAAAAAAAAGAAAAGATTTTCATACAAACTTTAGAGCTCTGAATTGTGTTGGCGTTATTAAAACATTTCAAAACTCTTTTTTTTTAAAGTATGTCAAAACAATACTATCTTCGTCCCAGTGTAAGTCAAACTGGACAAATTTTGAACTCCAATTACTCTCAATTTAATTATATTGCATATTAGCATTATGAAATACAATTTTGAAAGTTCTCAATACGATAAATCCAATAAAGTCATTTTTATGTTAAAATACATTACGATTTTTGTTTAATTGAAGCTTAAAGTTTGTCCAATTTGACTCGAAGAAGTCAAACTGAACAAATAGACTGGGACAGAAGGATTACATATTAAAAAAACAGTAAATGCCCTTGCAGGTCGTTTGGGGCCAGCTTGATTTGAATCTACATTTTTTAGTCAATAAATAAATCATTGATCAAAGAATTGTCACATGGTGATATATATATGGACCATGCTACACTTACACCAAAAAATATATCCCATTTGTACAACACAGGTTTGCACAAACATTTCGATGGTTTACACCGACACAAGTGTTGGTGCGTTAATAAAAATTCACACGGACACAAATGTTGGTGCGTTTAACAAAAATTAGTTTTACACCAACACAAAGTGTTGGTGCAAAACTGCGGGGTACAAAACTTGGGGTACACATAGCATAATCCTATATATATACTCGTATATATGATAAAGATAGAACATCATTTTACTTTTACTATTGAGCAATAGTTTAAAACAATTAATTTGGTTTAAAAAGAGGAATTACTTTTACTATAGATCAGAGCAATAGTTAAAAACAATTAATTTGGTTTAAAAAGAGGATGATGAGTGTAAAGAAAACCGGAACCAAAGATTCATTTCTTTTGTGGTTCCAAATTTTTCATATTAGTAATCAATTAATTAGAAGCTGATATGCCACTATGAAAAATATACTACCCTCTCCTCCAAAAATTATTTTCGCAATAATTATTTATACGATCAAATTTTATTCACTTTGATGGCATATATCCATTTCCAATGTGATAAAATAATATCGTAACACGCAACTAAAAGATAATTTTTATACTAAGAGAATACATATTTAATTTGTGTGTCAAACTCAAAAGTATATATATACTGGTCATATGGGTGGGCCGGGGACTATTCATTAACAATAAAATCTACTTTTTCAATGTAGATAAAAGATGTGATTAAATTTTGTGTAGAGAAAAGAAATTGTTTGAATCACACAATTCTTTTTCCAAAAAAAAAAGAGAATAATTATATTCTAAATAAAATTATAAAATATTCTTGTTTATTATAGAACTGTGAGGAGGAAGCATATGAGCCCCCCTTTTTCCTTTTACTTGATAAGAAAAAAATGTGTTTTTTTTTCTTTGGAAAAATGGACAAATGGTAGTGTGTAGTTGGAACCATAGTGATCTAGGGTAGATTTGGAAGCTTGCTTTTTCACAAACATGTAATCTATTTGGGTCACTTTTCCCTTTTCAGTGTCCATTTGTCATGATTTGAGTTCCATTTTGGTTCTCTGTCTAGGTCAATTTTGGCTGGCTTTTTTTTTGGCATAATATTCTTATTTTTTAGTTATTATTATGTTTATTAGGGAGGAGCTGATGAGAAAGTTACTCAAGATTCTAGAGGAATCTATTAAATATATTTTTTCGTGTGCTGAAATTTACATCTTCTTTTATCCAACATAAAATAAATATTGCACTTCAAATTTTTCTACTCTGCATTCCAAATATAAAACAAAACAAAATGCTCCCTAAAAGAACCCAGAAATCCTGAGCATTCCTTCACTTTGATTTTTTCTTTTCTTCAAATCAAACTAGATAAAATCTGATCTTCAATAAAAATGAAATTTATATTGCATATTATTGGTAAAATCACTCTGTATTTAAGTAGATTAATGTTGTAGAAGAGTTTCTAAAAATTTCACTGATTAGGATATGAGAAGAAAGAGACCAAGTTGAGCCAAGTGAGAATAGAAGCTTAGAATGAAGATATGAATATGCTCTTTTTTTTTTCTTCTCATTTTTCTCTTCAAAATATAAGTCCATTTCGGCCTTGTTTGAGAAGAACGTTTTTTTATTAGCATTAGCGTTTTGGATATATAAAAAATTTAACGGTGTAGATTAATTTTGAAAACGCTAACGCTAAAGGCTACCATCAGATAACTTTTTCAAAACAATAACGCTAATCGAAAACAACGATGCCAAACGGAGCCTTCCTTTTCCCTGCCAAATTCTTTATTCTTTGAACAAAAGAGAGTGATATTAATCTTTAAAAGTTAAAAAACATTCAAAGAATTTCTTCTTCTTCTTCTTCTTCTTCTTCAGAAAAGTAAGCAGATAATAAAGAAAAGCATCAAACACAATTTTTCAAAGAGTCACCTGCACCCTGGAAGAAACAACAAGAGAGTGCAAAGTCAGCTATGAAGATGCCCACAAGAGAGATGACGACAGCCGAAGTGGTCGATTCTCCCACCCCCTTAGCCCCCCCAAGGGTCGTCACACCCCAAGCGCAGCTCACCACGGATATGATCCCGCCGAAAACCCCCGACTTGATCATCGCGCTCACAATGTCCCATGACCTAAGCGCCCTCCGAGCCGAATCCAAGATTATGTTCACACTGATCCCATACACACCGTCGGATAAGACTGCACTTGACGCCAGCCCAACCGTGAAACACAACAGGGTCAAAATGGGCAAAGCAACACAAGAGGCGATCACCCGTGGGGTCACCAGGTAATCGACGGGGTCCGCACCCAAAACCCTAAGCGTGTCGGTTTGTTCGGAAACCTGCATCGTCCCAAGCTCTGCAGCGAACGCGCTGCCAATACGGCCGGCAACCACGATTGACGTGACGACCGGACTCAGTTCTCTTGCGAATGCTAAGGCCAAGACCCCACCGACGGACCTGTTTAGACCTAACCTTGTGAATTCCCTGACGAATTGAATGGTGAAGGCCATGCCCACAAAAGCTGAGGTCAGCAGACAAACCCCGACGGATTTAGGGCCGACCCTCTCTAGTTGCTGACAGGTGTTTCTCCAGTGGATCTTTCCCTTTACAACCCGTATGATCACTTGCCCGGCCATGATTAGGACGGATAGCCCCCTCCATAAGTACCTAGGAGGAGACCAGTTACTGAACAAGGTTTCTGATTCATTATTCAATCGACCGTTTGCAGAAACTTCTTCATCATCTATAGACGCGGATGCACAATGGGGCACATCATTGGTAGTAGGAGTCACATAACATCTCTGTAATTGGGATAGCTTGAGGGCTTTATGAAACTGAGTTCTTTGCGGAAAATAAAGTTTAGGGTAATACAGATTTGGGCATGATAATGTTATCTTCCTCTGATCGACACTGCCAATTCTTCTGTCAATGAAGTTACAGGGCAGGTGACTGGTAGACGTAGCCAGCAGCATTGTATGCTCTAGGGCCCACATCTCGATATATGATTCTTTGAACTTGTTAACTGCAGGGAATAAGAGAATATATGTTTCAGATATTTAACGCTACAAGTAGTTCACGAGCAGTTCGAGAGCAAATCCTTTGTCCCAAAAAATGTTATCCGACCTCGATGTCCTATGCTCCAGATGTCGTCACATAGCACAACAATGAAGTAGGAGCACAATTTTGTGCCATGTGACAACATCTTTGAGCTCCAAAAAACACTTCACTAATCCACATTGCATACAAACAGATATTCACAATTTCACAGACTCAAAATAACCGTATCGATTCGAGTAGCAGATAAGCTGATGTATGTGTTGATGTACTGATACAAATTACAACCCCACTGTGATTAAAGTAGAGATTTTTCTTTGAAGAAATTGAATCTTCAGAGGACAAGTAAAGAAAAGAACGAGATTTCGAGCCCATAACATTCTATTGAGCACGAATTGGTGAATAAATTTCGAATAATAAAGTGAAACCAGATTTCAAAGGATTGGAAAACGTGTAGAGAGTCGCAAACCTAGGGTTCGGTTTCAGAGGGTTAGACGAAATCTGTAGGCGAGAACCCTAAATCTGATTGCGGATTGATAGAGTAAAGGCAAGCAGGCGGCCATGTCTTCACCGATGGATACTTGTCGCGCTTGGTGTGGTCGTTAGGGGCGGCCGAAGTGGTAAGGTGCCGTCGACCGCCGCCGGAGATCGTAGATGCAGTACCCTCGTCGCCGATGCAACCTAAAAACTAATCGGCTGAGACCTTTACAATTCTTTTAGCAGGGCTTCTAACATACCGAGTGTTCATCTACCTACTCCATTCATCCACCTTCTTCAATCTTACACTTCTTCTTCAAATGTCTCATCTTATTTTTTGAAGATTTGATCTGACTGTAGTTATAATTAAATTTGTTTCTGATCTGATTTAATCTGGTCTGATCTGATTATAATTAGAACAAGTAATTAGCAGGAAAAAATTAAACAAAATGCTGCCGTAATCTTTCTATTTGATTTTTCATAATGATTGTTATATTTCAATCATTAATAGAAGTACTTATAAACGGATATATTTTTATGAAATTTAATATTTTAAAACTATACTTTAAAAGAAAATTATTTATATTAAATTTATTTCAAAATATATTACTCCGTATATTTTTCTTGTATACCGGGGAAACGCTGATAAAAAAAATTCAAATGAGAAGATTAAATCTGAACGGGAGGAATTGTATGTATTCATACTGCAAAAATATACCGTGCAATCGATACCATAGTATTTCCCATATATATGCTAAAAAATAAATATTCAATTATTCGAAAATGAGTATTCATATGAATATACGGGAAACACCGTACATTTAGACGTATGGTATAACCGTGTAAATACTCATACTCACAGTTGGAGTATATATTCTGAATTTACTAGGCACAAAGAATTAATGTCAAGGTTCAAATTTACTTGCCTAGCACTCAAGATCAGAATGTCTTTAGCAAATTTCATATTAATCTTCACATTTTATATTGGATATGTTTTAATTGATCATTTTATCATATATTTTTTGAATGATCTTTAACTTTTAAGTTATATTAATTACAAGATAAATCAAATTAAAAATAATTTCAAAGATACATTATGTTATGTACTTCGTATTTGATACACAGCTTTATCACGCTTGCGTGAATAAATCTATATTTTTTTCCCGCATGACTTAGAGAGAAGGCGGCGTTGCGGTTCCAGCTCATGCAAGGACTCTGGTTGGACTTCTCGGGGGTCATAGTGCTCCACCGATCCCCGGCCGGGACTTCCATCGCCGGAGACGGATTTGACTTCGAACTCGAAAGCAGCAGCCACTACGCTATTTCACTGCGGTGAAGGAAATGGCAAAAATTTCTCTTGGGCAGCGGTTGAGGGAGGCTTTTGATGGGGAAACCCAACCCACTCCCTCGTGTAAATGTATGCTAAACTCATTGGATGCCATATTTTCATGTTTTTATTTCTTTATTTGAAGAGAGTTTGATAGATGACTACAATCAATATCAATATACTCCGTATTTATCAAATATCATATTAAAATTAAATATAATTATATTCAGTTAAATTGAGATACATACTACTTATACGATGACATATCAAACATAAAATATAAATTCAAAAACTATACTATTCCCTTCGTTCTTAAAAATCTTTCCTATTTTAACTTTTTTTTGCCAATATAATATTTTTTTACCACAAATTGTGAGAAAAATATATTTAATTATAATATAATTTCAATATAATTAAATTCAACCTAGAACATAATTTTGATATATCAAATTTTTATATGATTTATTAATTTAATAATATGATTAACTTGTAATCAAAGAGTATCAATATTAGACAAAAAAAAGTCCAAAAAGAAAAGCTTAAGAGTCAAGTACATAAGAGTACATATTGTTCCTTTCTTGCGAAACCTATATAATGCTTAACCTCGAATCCGGATACATAAAAACATAGGAGAGAAAGTAAAAGCTACAAAAAATTTACACCATAGTTATTCAAGTTTTAAACTAGAGAAATAACTACCCCGAGCAACCTCCATTGAACAAGCTTCGTCTCTCTCGGCCTCCTTGTCCTAAGAAGTTTGATTCCAAGATTAAAATTATACTCCATTATTTACACGCCAAAAAAACGGTAGCCTTCCATCCTCACTTTGCATCTAGCAGTCTGGCCCGGATTGAGCTGGGGCATTGTATCTTGTTTACACTGCACAAGATGAAGCCAGTTGATAAGATACACTCATTGAAGTATCAAGTGAACAAAAACTAATGGTTTACCAGACTTACCAAACAAGGAGATCTCCACTTGATGCCATCTTTTCATATATCCATTCTGGTGCAAATTCAAGCAGTAATCTGAGCTGATCTTCTGCTTCTCCTGCAAGTTAAATTAGTCCTGGCTTAGAAAACAGGTTTCTTCCGTAAGAGCTTGAGTTTTTGTTAGTTGGGGAAGTGCTTACTGCCATCGGCAATGTCAATTTGGTTCGCGAGTACTTTGTGCATGAGCTCCTTCTTTGTGATGACCGAACGCTGGATGGAATGAAATAGACAATAAATTGTATCAAACATTTTTGGTAGGCTTGCAATCATTTGTTTCCTCCACTTTGCTTGTGAGATTGCAGGACTTCTTTCTATTGTTGCCTTCCTTTCTTTTTCTCTGATCTGCATAAACACGCCATGGTTAGCATTTCTTCATAGGCATCTAAGGCAACAAAAACTTTGGTAGAGCAAATTTGGCTGAAATAGTTGAAATCTAAAATTGACCATTTGGTAGGTTAAATAAAAAGGATGATTACCATAGAATAACTATGCTTACCGATTGCAAAAGATTCTCAGGAAGAACATCCAATAAATCCTGGTAATCCAAAGAACATGTTCCAATCTCACTGACTTGATCTGAGCTGCTGGCATCCTTTACTGGGGTGTCAAAGACCAGTTTTCCCCTGGTAGAGCGCCTAACCAGTTTGTTTGGGGACTTAGCTGAATCATCCTCAGGACTCATATAGCATCTCTTGGGAGGAGGAGGAAGAGCAGGAGTGGAAGTCATCACTTCTGCTGGTGTGGATACAAGTTTAGCTGGTGTTACCTTTTCAACTTTGGAGGGATGAGCATCCTTTATGGGAGTTTCTAATTGGGATGAGCAGCTGGTACTTTTTGGTTTTGCACCACGCTCTGATTGATGAGAGTTAGAAGTCTCATAAGCTTTCCTCTCAGGAACAGTTTGGTCCGACTTAATTTCCTCTTTCATGGAAAGGGTGTTGCGTCGAGAAAAGCTCGGCCTAAAAGATTGAGAAAGGTGTGAGGCAGAAGCTGGTGGCTTTGACAGACTGGAGCACACACTGTGCTTCTGTTCAGAAACAGCATCATTGGGTGCATCTACAATCCTTGGTGCCTTACTCAGAGTGTCATGCTTTGATTTATTGAATGGTTCTGGCAATTCACCCTCTGGAATGTCATCTTCCTGAGGTCACAAAGTTGATCAATTAGTTGATTGCAATTCATTTACAACAACCCAGTAAAATCACAAAAACAAAATATGGGTTGTAAATGCCTTAATTGTTTCAGCTGTAAATAATCAAACTAAACTTCAAGTAGTTTTGGCTGTACAAATTTGGCAGATCACAATTTTAGGGAAAGGCATTTCCTTAAATATTAACCAGACATTGTCATACAACAAAAGTACATTCTACCAAACACAATATATACAAAACAGTTAATACCTCTGGATGGGCTTCTAGATAATCCAAGAGGCGCTTTCCGAATATATTAGACAACTCTAGATTAGCATTGCCTGATTTCACCTTTCCTTCACCCACAACTGCATTAGGGTTTAGAGTAATAACAAGATCAGATTTCATACAAAGTGTGGATTCATCTTGCAGAAGGACCTTCTTTAACTCAATGGCCTCCGGTAAAATGAACTTCATCTGTGCTACGTGACTGTGAGTAAACGTCCTACAAACAATTACCCAAAACCAATGTATTAGCATAGCCTAATTACACAGTATTAGCAGAAGATATCCCAAAAGAATACAGGAGATTTATAGGGTTTGCATCCAATACCTATCAGTCAATGTCTCCACTGCGGGTTTAATATTCTTAAATGATAACAATGAACCTTTAAGCTGTAGTAGCCGAACAGAACTATGTAGGCCCTTGAAAAACTTGGCCAAGATCTCATACCTGGAATAAATTCAGGAAATTAATCACAATATAAACCAGATACAGACGATCCAACATAAAACCAGATGATATTCCATTTAACCACTCAAAATCCAGTTTAAAGAGACAGGTTTTGATAATATTTAGCATCATAAAAAGAAAAATCTAAAGATCAACAGGAAAAATTGCAGGATAGAAATAGCATTAATACAAATCATCAACAAGCTATCATGTGAAACTGCAAAGACAGCATTCCAGAAAATAGAAGGAATATTGTAAAAACGCTTACTTTTCTGGAAGCTTTGCTGAACGGTTAGGCTTCTTAGTCTTTACAGCTGAAGATTGAGAACGGCAATCGACCCCCTCTCCGGCGGACCTCAAAATTGGATCGCCTTGAGCAGATGGTTCCGGATCTGATTTGAGGAGATTATGAGCTGCCTTTCTGACCTGACTCAGAGAGAAGGCGGCGTTGCGGTTCTGGATCCGGCGAGAAGCATTGACGGGCTTCTCAGGGGTCTTAGAACTCCACGGATCCCCAGCCGGAACTTCAATCGCCGGCGACGGATCCGACTTCGAACTCGAACGCAGCACCTTCTTCGATCGGAACGACTGAAGCAGCGATTCGGCGGCGTCCATTTTCATCAGACCGGACGGAAGATTGGAATTGACGGAAGATTTGTTGGGGAGAAGAAGAAGCAGATATGTATATAGCGCGGCTATATCTTAGGGTTTTGGCGCCAATAGTGATGTGGCAACCGACGTGTCCCTTGCCAGGTAGGAGTTCGCGCCATTTCTCTGGCGCGTCTTCGCGGGAAGGGTTGTTGGGCTGGGCCTGATTGTTTTTCTCGGGTCGCGGTTGTGGGTTTTGATGGATTTTTTACCGTTGGGAACACCCAACAAAAATGGAAGTCCTTGCGAGCATGGCCCAGTGTTACCCAAATTACAAATTCGACCGTTGGGAGTAAATACTTTTCCTTTCTTGCACGAAATCAATGCTGCGCTTCGAGATTCGAATTCTAATGGTCAAAATTAGGAGATGACTAGATGAGGAGACAAAATCCCAAAAATATTTCCCTATCAAATTAGATCGATATTATTTTCCTATTGTAAATGTAAAATTTTAAGAAAATTATATATTAAAAAATTATATTAAAAAAGTTTACAAACTAGAGGTGATTTAAATACATTACATTATCAAATTAGTAACGAAAATAAGGAAACAAGTTATATAAAGATTGATCTGACGGAGGAAGTAACAATAATACCAAAAAAATTATAAAATTAGAGATGACATGATTATATTATTTTATCAAATGACTAATCAAAATATGAAAAAATGAATAAAATTTAACTTGTAAATAACAAACATATAATTCAATTTGGAATGGATAGAATATTATCTCATTTTAAATGATATGCTATCGAATCAATCTAGTCTTAAAACTGAACCACATCGAGTAATTAGAATTGTAATAAGGCACTCTTGTAACAATACAATGCAAATTCTAGGAAATATCAATGCTTTTAAACTCGGGCCGAAGGTCGACCCGGTGGGAAAGACGGATCTCGGGTCAATCTGGTTTTTCCCGAGTTTTTTCCGGATTTTGGGGGGTTGGATCAGACCGATTGTGTGTTCGGATCGGATCACGGTTTGACCGGTCAAACCGCCTAGTTTGGTCCGAGTTTAATAACACTATGCAATATGGGAACATCACAAATCGTACTTATCCCTAATCAAACTCGTGGAAAAGAAAATAAAAACTATACAAAAATACTTCATTCTTCAACAATAAATTTTTAAGTTACTATTATGGCATTTTGAAAATTTATGTTTGCTTACATATTTTCATCAATCATTTGATAGAATAAAATATTTTTTTCGCACCTAGTTTTATAGAACTTTGAGTGTTTCTATGGTTCACTTGGATGCATATCATTTTCGTGGAAATTGCTTATTTGTCATAAGTTCATGATGGATCTTAGGTCCATCATAGAATTTATATAAAACTTTTGATGTAGTTTTGTAAAATATAATTTATACCTTTTTACGTTATACTAATTTCTAAATAAAATAATTTCAAAAAAAAATCTTACACATTCTTCAAAATGAGAAGTTTATTGTTGAATAAAGGGAATAGGAACTAAGCTTGGGGATCCCCATTTTAACACCAATTCTCACAACTCATTTCATTTTTCTCATAGATATTTATAGACATTAACATTATACCATGTGAGTGAAAACTTGTTATAAGAGTAATGTGAGAATTGATGTTAAATTTTAATATCTCTAAATTGATTCAAAATATAATGTATTTTCTTCTCAAATTACTGTCATACCGCGGTCCTGACTCCTGATCGATCCTCAAATGGGTGACTTTTTTCCATAACATGCATGTTGTATTATATGCAGTATTCAAATTTCTAGTTATAATGAAAAACTAATTTATAAATTCAAGATTTTAATTTGTTATTAATATATTTTAAATGTTACCCCCCCCCCCCGCCTCAATTTAAATCGTCTATTGTTGTTTACAATATTTGATTGAAATTATTTTCAATTCAATTTAAATTAGTGTGATATTTAAAAATAAAAATTATACATTTAAAAATCACATCAAAAGTTACATTCTAACATTTTTAGCACAAATTAACTCTCATAATATGCCTAAAGATATCCCATAATCTATGTTCAGGCCCTATTGGCTAGGCTGTTTAGTATAACAAAATCCATAACCGAAAGTATCATACTCTGGAAGGTTACAAATGTAGTTTTACCAACACCCTCTCCCTCACTGAGTGAATTTTAGAACTTATTTTTATTTTTTAATGTAGTTGTACCATTTCTTTTATATTTTTGTTTTTAATTCAAAGAACAATGCAAGTTTTAGACATTCTATTTGAGTGCCATAATATGCCATCAGACTAATTTCAACACCCTATGATAATTGGGTTCTATCCATTTAAATTTTAACTACTTAAAACAATACCCAATCTCTTATTGCACTCTTCAATTTCAATTGACATTCTCGTCAATCTGTTATCCTACGGGTCAAGCAAATTTTGGGAGCATGATTGGCCATGTTGGATTGGGGCATATGAATGGGCTAGAGGTGAGATTTTGGACAAAATGTGTTGAGGTAGGATCTATATCAAGATTCAACTGAGTGTCGTAAATAGCTTAAATTGACTTGTGCTATGTTGAGTAGACTACTTTTTATTGTTTGCAATATTCCACATCTGTGTGACATTTTATTTTTGTCTTATCATTGTTCTAAAAATAAAGAATAATACAGAAACTTAACAATGATATATTTAAGTTTTTATTTTTAATTATCTGAGACTATTATTTAAAATTATTATTTTACATCTTTGATAAATTTATACAATTTGTAAATATTTTGTATGTAACTCTAGCCTTACTAAAAAAGGGAGTTACAAAAAAACTATGGAGTACAAACTTATACCATGTTCATCCCTACACTACCCTGAGCTACAGTTACCTCGAAGGAAGGCTCTTGTAGAAATCACCGTAGGGTTTATCAACGACAAAGGTCACGAGGAATTGCTCATACGAATTAAGCCATGAGAAGAGCTTCTTCATCCGCGCTCATCCTAATTCATCGCCGGGCTAAGCTCTCATCTCTCATCTCCTCCTCCTCCGCCGCCGCCGCCCACGAATTTCTCCCGCACATCTCCCAAACCCCACCTTTTCTCTCACGCGATGCCAATACACCCCATAGACCCCAGATGTTTAACACCCTCGCCGAGCAAACCCCGCCCCAGATTTCTTCAAGGCAGAGGAAGATCAAGCAGAAATCCGATCTTGAAGAGGCATTTGAGTCCGCAGAGTCCACAGAGGAAATGTTGAAGGCTCTCAAGGATATGGAGTCCTGCTTCAATGAAAGAGAGCTCGGCATGGCTTGCCTGAAAATGGGCCTTAAACTCGACCAAGAAGGTCATGATCCTGAAAAGGTGCTGTCTTTTGCCGCCAGGGCTTTGAATTCCTTTGACAGAGATGAAGATGATGCGTCTTTGCCTCTTGCCATGACTCTGCAAGCGATGGGTTCTGCGTCTTATGGTCTGAAAAGGTTCAATGACAGCCTAGGGTACCTTAATAGGGCCAAGAGGGTATTGCGTAAGTTAGAGGAAAGCGCGTCTTGTAATGTTGAAAACTCTAGTCCTATCCTCCATGCCGTGGAGCTTGAACTGTACAACGTAAAGACAGCCATGGGGAGGAGAGAGGAAGCTCTGACGAACCTCTTGAAGGCTTTGGAGCTAAAAGAGCTGGTTTTGGATGAACGCAGTGGAGAACTTGGAAAAGCTTACAGGGAAGTTGCTGAGGCTTATGTTTCTGTTTTGAATTTCAGAGAGGCGTATTCGTATTGTATGAGGGCATTGAATATACACAAAGCACTATTGGGGAATAACTCTGTTCAGGTTGCACATGACAGAAGACTCCTTGGGATTATACACTCTGGGTTACAGGACCACGATGCCGCTTTAGAAGAGAATGAACTGTCTCAAAAGGTCTTGAAGAATTGGGGTCTTGGTCAAGCGTTGCTCCAAGCAGAGATTGATACTGCTAATTTTCAGATTGCACTGGGAAGGTACTATGATGCCATCGATACCCTTAAGAGTGTTCTTCAACGGACTGATAAGGAGAGCAAGGACAGAGCAATGGTCCTTCTTTCCATGTCAAAAGCATTGTCTAGCCAGGAGAATTTCCAAGAATCAAAGAAGTGTCTTGACTCTGCCTGTGAGATTCTAAGGAAGAAAGAAAAGAGCTTTCCTGTTGAGGTTTCCGAAGCTTATATGGAAATCTCAACGCAATATGAGCTGATGAATGAATTTGAAACTGCCATATCTTTGCTGAACAAAGCACTGAGAATGCTTGAAAAGATTCCTCAAGAACAACATTCAGTAGGGACTGTTTCTGCAAGGATTGGGTGGTTACTTCTGTTAACGGGAAAAGTGGAGCAGGCCATTCCTTCTTTGGAGGATGCAGCCGAAAGGCTCAAAGAGAGCTTCGGTCCAAAGCATTTTAGCATCGGTTACGTTTACAATAATTTGGGTGCTGCTTACTTGGAATTAGATAGACCACAATCGGCTGCACAAGTTTTTGCATATGCTAAGGATGTAATGGACGTGTCTCTTGGCCCTCACCATGCTGATTCAATAGAGGCTGTTCAAAACCTTTCAAAAGCATATGCTGCTATGGGAAGGTAAAATTATATACTCTTCTGATACATTAATCATTGTTTCATTCACAGAATCACAGCTCAATCTATTATGCTTCTATGTTTGGTNCCCCCCCCCCCCCCCCCCAAAAGGTAGCTGTTTTGGCATCTGGGGTGACTTACCTTCAAAGAATAAACGGCTTTTTATAGGAAGAAACAAACCACAACTTTTGAAATGAAGATTTTGACAAGGAAATGAAAAAAAAAGAGGCAAAACCCAGAAGAATTCCAACTCTATGGGAGTCAAGTTGTAGCCCCATAAAAATAGAGGTTATTTTTTGTTAGATTGTTGTTGATTGGTACACATACCCTCCCTAGACCTACTTTCGTAGGATTGTATTGGGTTGTTGTTGACTTGTTTTTGTTGTTGATTGGTACATTCACCATTGATAACATCATAGAAACTAAGAAGCAAAGGAAGTTTTATGTGTTGTTTTAATTTACGCAAAACTAAAATGTTGCCAATGATCACTTTTAGTTCATTAGCAATGAACCTTTGCTAGGAAATGCAAAATGTGCTTTGTAATTTAGAATAGCGCATCTTAAATCTTAAAAACCATAAATCTGTGCTTATACGGAATATTTAAGTGCTTTTATAATGAGTTTTTTCTCGACTAAACTCTTTTTTAAAAGTGAAAAGCACCAAACTGGGGTTTTCTCAAACAAGTACTATATGTGGGTTTTAACAGTCAAGAACACTTTTATACTGCTAAATGTTTGTTTTCGGAGTAAGGTTTTTTCTCCCTCCAATAGGCAATTATTTCTCAAAAACAAGTCTTCTTAAATGCACAAGAAGGCAATGTGTAAGAGATTTTCAAGATATAATAATCACTTTTAGTGCTCAAAACTAGAACAATCTTATTTTGAAAGCACTTACAGTACATGTACATGCCACCTAAACAAACTTTAAACTTTCAACATAGTCAAGTTGATGCCTCTGTAATTCCTTCATAAGATTTTCACATCTTCATGCACCGATACAAAGAAAATGTCCAACTGTGTATATACTCCGTATGATAATAAAATACACAGCCATTAACCATTGTAGAGATGGATCCTTTTTTTTGCAGCTATGAACTTGCAGTTGACTTCCAAAAGAAAGCTGTAGAAGCTTGGGAAGGGCATGGTCAAAATGCAGAAGATGAACTTAAAGAAGCTCGCCAGATTCTTGAGCAGCTAATGACAAAAGCACGCGCTTCATTGCTCAACCACTCCCCAGCAAAGGCATTGCCTTCGGCAAACACAAGGGACCGTCGACCTGATGTTTTCAATCACAGAAACGAGACAAAGAAGGCCTATCACTGTAAGGGCATGCCTTCTCTTTATAACGCAATGAATTCATCTTAGAGAGATAAGATTTGGATGCGTGATAGAATTAAAGGGAAAGAACGATTGGTTTACATTATTTCTTTCACCTTTGCATTAATTTTCAACCATGTTTCACTCTTTCATGGACTATGAAAAAAGCAAGTGGAAAGTTTATGTTGGGAAATAGGGAGTATGGCTGAATGACAGAATGAGACAATTTATAGGAAATGCAAATGAGTGTTGTGTTCTTGTTCATATAATTAAAGATTGCTGATATGTTTTATAGGTGTTCGTTTATAGTGTTGTTCATGGACAAATTTGGTTAAGATTTGCTAAAAGATGTTTCTTATCAAGCTTGATTAGTGAACAAAAATAGTTTGTATACTTCAAAAAGAATTTCTTGATATTAAATTTGTTATGTATAAGGATAGATGAACCAAATGAATTTAAGAGTTTCCCCAAAGTTCAATAGACTTTTTAAGAGTTTTATAAATGATACTTCATCCGGCTTAAGTGAAATTGTGTCTTGCTATTTACAAGATTTGAGTGAAATTTCTTTAACTCATTTTATTTAAAATTTGGTGTGAAATTAAAAAAATAAATCGTACATATTCAAAAATCATATCAAAAGTGTTACAAAATAAGTAACGAATATATTATTTTTAAAATAAGTAACGAAAATGGTTTTAAAATGGTTAAAATTTGACCAAATGAATAGTAAACAGGTTATTTAAATTGGAACCAAATGAGTAGGATTTTAGTGGATTGTAAGGTGTTTAGCATAAAAACAAATCTCTTGATAAATATTTCTCCAAACTTGTCCGCTACAAGGAGAAGCCTAGAAAGGTGTTTAGGAAAAATCTAGGGATATCTGAATTTTATACCCCAACTTGCAAATCAACATATCATAGACACATACAAACAACTAATTTTCCTGCAAGCACAAACAAGTATTGTTTTGTGTGTCTCTAATATGCTGGTGAGCAAATTAGGGTACAAAGTTTGAGTTACTCTATCACACCCCAATAGTTTATCGTCCTGGTTCCATGGCCACTGGAATCCTGTGACCACGGAAGCCATTGACCCCCTACGGAGCTCCGTTCATAAAATTGATGATTTCTACCCTCTCTAACCCCCCGGTAATCCCCCCCCGCCAAGTCCCGACCCAAACTAATCACCCCACTTACGTCAATTGCACCTCGTAAGTATAATTGACTTAAAGTCAAAAGTTTTGACTTTATACTTACGAGGTGCAATTGACGTAGGTGGGGTGATTAGTTTCGGTCGGAACTTGGCGGGGGGTTTACCGGGGGGTTAGAGGGGGTAGGAATCATCAATTTTATTAACGGAGCTCCGTAGGGGGCAGTGACTTCCGTGGCCACTGGATTCTAGTGGCCATGGAACCGAGCTGATAGTTTATACTCCTTCCGTTTAAAGAACAAAAAGCTTGGACATAAAAGATCAGCCGAGATATGTCAAGAGTGGACTGAAAAAATTGTGGCCAAAGTGGTCCTTTGAGATCGGTCTAGTCTCGGACTGGTGGTCTCATTTGGTCATCTAAATTGGTGGAAAGACTAGATCGGTTCTCTAAATTGGGGCGAAGGGGAAGGACTAGGTCGAGACCAGACTAAAACTAATCTCATAATGTAATATCAAAATATAACTTTTACATAAATACTTCTATTTTTAAGCATATTATTTTAATCTCCTTATCTACAATGATCATGAGTCGTTTTTAAACTTGTTTTTTCTTTGTTTCCAAACGACAAAATAACATGGTTATAATTTTAAACGATCACTCTTATTTGTTTACTCAGTTCCACTAAGATAAGACATTTTTTTTAATATTAACAAGAGAAAAAAGAAAGCTCTTATAGCTGATTTGATATTCATTTAAGACACTTTAGAATATATAGTCTCTGCAAGACATGAAGATTCTCTGTCAATCTGGCTAACACCAACCTTCGATGTAGCATTTAGAGCATATTTGAATTGTATTAACTATTATTAGTCCTTTCGGTTTACTAATGTTGCTACACATTGCTTGCTTGACTCATAGTAACATCGATCTTGTTGAAATAACTATTTGAGTCAGGGCCGGTCCTGAGAATTTGACGGCCTGTGTTGAGACTGAAAAAAGGCGCTAAAGTACTTACTCTTAATGACTTAACAAGTTAAAGTGTGCAAAATATTTATATCAAGTGTGCAAAGTAATTATATTTCAATGACAATTTACATACTAACATTATAACAAAATAAAAAAAATGATAAAATCATAGTAAATATTTTAAATCTATTTACCTCTTGAAACCAATGTCTTGAAAATCAGACCAGACATCTCCCGTATGAGCTAGACGGAAGAATAATATTTTACATTACATTATTAGATATTTTTAATTATTAAAAAATTTTAATCTGAGTTTTTTTCACTCTTCCATCTAGTTTTCAATATCTTTTTCATATGTCATCACTCTAATAATATCCAATAGCGTTGTTAATGTCTATATGTATATTACCAAGACATTGTCAGTTTAAAAAAGATATCATCGCAATTATAAATATCTACTGCATTAACCATTAATTTTTCTCGATCAGCAAATAATGTCCATAATTCTTACAACATCTCATGCATATAATTTGTACAATGTCTTAAATCCGTGAACAAAGTCTAAAAATGTTAGAATGTCAATCAAAAATCAAAAGGAAAATATAAAAATAAAAAATCAATCAAAGAGATAAAGATACTATAATGTTTTTATACAGAGCACAAAGTAATTAAGATACAAGAGTCTTTTAGTATTGATAATTCATAAATTAATTTAATGTAAATATTGGAAAAAAATTGTTCAGTGTCATTTGGAAAAAAAATTGTTAACTTTTGGAGCTACTTGGAACAAATTTCACATACAAAAAATATATTATTTATCAAATAATCAATAAAATTATACTCCCTCCATTCCATAAAACCTTTCCTTTTTCGTTTTTTTCGAATTTCCTAAAACACTTCCAATTTCTATAAAAAATCACTTTTATCCATACTTTTTTATATCCTACCTATCACATCATAATTTTTGTTTCTAATAATCAAACTATCACATCTTATTTTTATCCATCACATCAAAGATAAAATTAAAAAGTCAATCAAAGTTATACTTTCCTTATTTTTGACTAAAGTCAAAATGGAAAGATTTAAAGGAACAGAATGAGTACAAACTAAGAAAAAGTAATTGAAGATTATAGTAATTAAAGTGTAAATCATTTTTGGGAATAAAAAATTATTTATTTATATGATATTCTAAAGGAAAAATTATCTCAAATAATCTCACCTTTTCGCGCTCTTTCAAAAATAATCTCACTTTTCACTATCACCGGAAATAATCTCACCTTTTCGCATGTGTGCAAGTTTTGGGTCACCGTTAAAAAACTAACGGCCACTTAACGGAAGTTTTTGAAAATGTCTGTTTTTTGCAAATAAATGAAAGGTGGGATTGTTTTAGAAAAAATTACTTTTTAGTTTTTTAGTTTTGAATTTAAAATTAATATTTTTAAAAATATAACAATACACTCTTGTTAGAGATTTGTCTAAGGATTAACAAATTTTGTTAATTGTTTTGGGAAAATATAGTATTGAATTATCAAAAATAATTCAGAGTATCGATCAAGAAAGAAATTACAATAAAAAAAATTGTAGTGATTTATAAAATTTATGGGTTCCGTTTCGGGAAAAAAAATATTGTTTCATTTTCACAACTTTTGAATTACTATTTTGGGGAAAAATTTGTATTGAATTATTAAAAAAATCACAAATTAGGTAGTTCCATTTTAGAAAGAAAATTTTATTGCAATATAAGATTATCAATAAATATTTCAAAGTGTTCATGGAAAAATTGCAATAAATCAGAAAATGTAGTGAGTTATAAAAATAAAAGTTCTATTTTAGAGAAAAAAAATTGTTGTGTTATTTTCACAACTATTGTAATGTTGTTTCACAAAAAATATTTATATAAACTATCGAAAAATATTCATAAGTTTTGTAGTGCCATTTTTTTAAGAAATGATAATAATGTAGTATCAAAAAATAATTTGAAGTGCAGCTCAAGAAAAATACAATAAATGCAACTTACAAAAAAATGTACTCCCTCCGTTATCAAAAGCACTTCCTCTTTCATTTTTTCCCTTCCAACAAAACACTTCCACTTTATATTAAAAAACCAATTTACCTTTACTTTTTCATACCATACCTATCACATCATACTTTATCTCTAATAATCTATCTATCACATCTTAATTTTACCTATCACATCAAGGGCAAAATTGGAAGTCAACTACAATTTAACACTTCCTTATTTTTACACAAAGTTAAAAGAGGAACACTTTTTCCAAACAGAGAGAGTAGTTAGTTATGAAGTTAATAAATTAGCTCTATTGTGTAGAATAATTTATTTTCTAATTATTACCATATTATTGGTTATTGAAAAAAACAATTACTTTCACTCTAAAAACACTTAAATTTGGTATTTTTTACAAAAAAATAAAATAAAAATACATTTAAAGAAATTAAAAAACGAAAAAGGGAGAATTTACCTAAAATAATCTCACCTTTCATTTATTTGCGAAAAACGGGCTGTTGGGTTAAGGAACCCAAGGGTCGGGAAGAAGAAGGATAAGGATGAAGAAAATCCTTATGTGGTGTGTGTTGCATTAGCTTTCCTCCCTCCTCCTTTCCCTCTTCCTAGAAGAGGGATATAAATAGGGAGAGTTAGAGTTAGGGTTTGAACATACATACAAACTAATGGGCCGACCCAACAGACGGGGCCGCTCCTAAAAAGTAATTAATACACGACAAACGGGCTTGTCCAACAGACTGGATCACCCCGACTAATTTTATAAAGACTGGATACCCCCTGTCCAGGGTATCCATCACGGGCATTTTTCAAAATTTTCGTTAAGTGACCGTTAGTTTTTTAACGGCGACCCAAAACTCGCACATATGCAGGAAGATGGTATTATTTCTGGTGAGAGTGAAAAATAAGATTATTTTTGAAAGAGCAGAGATTATTTGAGATAATTTTTCCTATTCTAAAAAGAATTGAACAAAAAGCGCCTTTTGTTTTCTTGTTTGTTGTTTCTTATATATTTTCACCGCTTTCACAACGACCACAGCACCCATTCCCAAAAACTGTTTCCGAATTCCGCCATGAGAAGAGCTTCTTCCTCCGCACTGCTCCTCCTTCGCCGCCGCCCGCTCTCATCTCTCGTCTCCTCCTCCGTATCCGACGCCGCCGCCTCCCAATTTCATCCCTATCTCAAACACTTAACACAAACCCCGCCCTTTCTCTCCCGCCATGCCAATACACCCCGGATGTTCAACACTCAAACCCCGCCCCAGTACTCGGAAGATATGTTAAAGGCCGGCATGGATGACCTGAACATGGGCACGAAACTCCACAGAGAAGGTAAACACGAAAAAGCCCTATCTTTTGCCACTAGGGCTTTGCAGTCCTTCTATATAGACGAAGACAGTGCGTCTTTGCCTCTTGCCTTGGCTCTGCATTTGATTGGTTCTGTATCGTGTGCTCTGGAAAGGTTTGATGATAGCTTAGGATACCTTAATTGGGCCAAACTGGTGTTGGGTAAGTTAGAGAAAGGCGAGTCTTGTAGTTATGAACATATTATTAGTGTTGAACACGTTGTGGAGGATGACTTGTATAACACAAACACAGCCATGGGCAGGAGAGTGGATGCTCTGGCTCATCTCATGAAGTCAGTGGAACTAAAAGAGAAGATATGGGGGGAAGGTAGCCTAGAACTTGGATTCGCTTATAGGGAAGTCGCATTGGCTCATATCTGTGCTTTGAAATTCAGTGAGGCATTGCCGTTTTGTTTGAAGGCATTGGAGATACACAAGGCATTACTGGGGGAAAACTCTGTTGCGGTTGCAGATGACAGAGAACTCCTTGGGACTATATATGGCGGGTTATTGGATGATGAGAAGGCTTTAGAACAGAAATATCTATTACAAAAGGTCTTGACGAATTTAGGTCGTGGTCAAGAGTTGCTCCGAGTAGAAGTTGATACTGCCAATTGTCAGATTCGATTGGGAAGGTACGACGAGGCCATCAATACCCTCAAGGGTGTTCTTCCATTGACTGATAAGGACAACACAGAGAGAGCTAATGTCTATGTTTCCATGTCAAAAGCATTTTCTGGCCTGGTGAAGTTAGAAGAATCAAAAATGTGTCTTGATAATGCCTGTGCGGTTCTTGGCAAGGATGAAAGTAGCTTTCCCTATGGGGTTGCTGTAGATTATATGGAAATCTCGAGTCTATATGAGGCGATGGATGACTTTGAAAATGCTTTATCTGTGTCGAAGAAAGCACTGGCAATGTTTGAGAAGATGCCTGAAGCAAAGAATTGTGCAGGTAATGTTTCTTGTAATATTGGGGTGATCCTTCTTTCAACGGGGAAAGCGGAGCAGGCAATTCCTTATTTGGAGGATGCAGCCAAATGGCTTAAAGAGAGCTATGGGTCCAAACATTTTATTGTCAGTCGTGTTTACAAAGCTCTAGGCAATGCTTACTTGGAATTAGATAGACCGCAAGCGGCTGTACAGGTTTTTGCAGATGCTGCACAGGTTATTGCGGATGCGAAGGATATGTTGGACGTCTATCCCGGCGTTCACCATGCTCTTTCAATAAAGGCTGATCAAAACCTTTCAAAAGCATATGCTGCTATGGGAAGGTAAAAATATGCTCCCTTTTGATACGTTTAATCATTGCTTCATTCACAGTACAATCTCTTATGCTTCTATGCTCTGTTTAATTTATGTGGATTACTTCTTTTTCCTAGTTATTCTCCCAAAGGAGGTCAGTGTTTGGCATCTCAATGGGTTTGGGGGAGGAAGGGGGTCATCTGGGATGACATTTTTCGAAGACTAAGTGACTTTTTACAGGAAATGAAAAAACAAACCAAAGCACTACTCTTACCCCATAAAAACAGGGGTGTTTTTTTTAGATTCTTGGCGGTTGCTGCACCAATAACTTCATAGAATGTACTTCGTAAGAAGCGAAAGAAGTTTAATCTGTTATCTTAATCTATTTCATAGTTCACCCAACACTTAATATGAGCTTTAACAGAATTAATAAGTGCTCTTATCATGCATGATCTCAATTTACATCAACTAAACTCTTTTTTTTTAAATTTAAAGTGAAGAACACCAAACTGGCCATTTTCTCTAACTAGTATTGCATGCGGGTTTTAAACGTTGATATCAGTTTTTTTTACTGCTAAATACTTGTCTTCGGAGTAGAATTACTTTTCTATCTCTAATAGGCATTTATTCCTTAAAAATAAGTCATGTTCAAAGCGATGGATAAGATTCACAAGCTTTAAACATTATCAAATAGATGCTGCTGTAATTTCCTCTTAAGATTCACAACTTCATGCCTATACAAAGAAAACATTTCAAGTGTGTATATATATTTGATAATGAAACACACAACCATTAACCATTGTAGAGATGGATCCTTTTTTGCAGCTATGAACTTGCCATTAAGTTCCAAAAGAAAGTTGTTGAAGCTTTGGAAGGGCTAGGTCCAGATGAAGAAGATAAACTTGAAGACGCTCGTGAGGTTCTTGAGCAGCTAGAGATGAAGAAGGCCAGTCATGCACCTGTAGAGGAGGCAAAACACAAGTAGGGACAACATTTGAATGTGATGGCCAATCTCATTAGAGGCATTCCTTCTCTTTCTAACTTAATTAATGAGCTTATCTTAGAAAGACAAGTCTTGGAAATATGATATGAAGTAGAAATGCAGTATGTCATCTCTCATCAAACAAACTTTCCACTTCTAATCTAAGAAAAACATTGTGCGGTTCACATTCTTTCTTTTACCTCTACATTAGTACGAGTAGTGTGATCAATCTCGCTTTTTCTTAGACTTTGCAAAAATGAAAGTGAAAAGTTTAGTTTGGAATGGTGGGAGTTTGGGCATAGGTATAGGACTATAACTATGATAGACTTATTTGCAAAGGATGCCAGTGGTTATCACTACCTTCGAATGTTGGTACGTACTACGTACTCCGTATTATTTTACAAATTCAAATGTTGGTAACTTTAAATTCTGTTTATGAAAATCTGAACGGTTTTGTTAAAATCCCAGCTAGGAGCTCTGTTCCTTAAACTCCGCCAAAGTCACCTCGGACCCATGCTAAGAAACTTAATCTTCTTTCTTCATCTTCATCATCTTCTTCATCAGTAGATTTTTTCTATCTTCAGCTTTTGCAAAAACAAGAAACCCATGCAAACATGTTCGTTCGGAATTGAAAGCAACTCTTCAATCTTTGCAAAGTCAAGGAAACCAAATAGTAAAATTCCAATTAATCTGCAAAGCCAAATTATTAAGAAATTAGTTTTACAAATAAGACCTTCAAACTGAAAAATAAAGAAAAAAATTTGAAAATAAGATGCACTAAGAAGAAGAGTGAATTAGCTAATCTGGTGAGGTTTAATTATTTGAAACAACATTCTAGATCAAATTAAGTGAAAAACATTTGGATATTACTCCGTAATTAATTGTTCAAATGGATTAAAACACTCACGAGATATTTTTATTGATTCTAAACACTGGTTCAATCAATTTTTCAATTAACTAGTGAAGTAAGGTTGCTTCAAGAATTAGCCAAAAGGATACAGTGGGAAAGGAATACCTCAAGATGAAGTTGGATATTCAAAAGGCTTATGACACAGTGATCCAGTTGGAAAGCTATTCAAAATATACTTTGTATCCTTAAATATCTCGAGGTTTTCAAAAACCGGATCATGTTGGTGATTTTAGTGTCATCCGTTATTTTGTATGATTGTTTTTACTTAAATTACAGAAGAATTTGAATAGACGTATCTTGTTGTATTTTGTTAACTTGTTTATCATTCTTGCTTGACTAAAAATGATAAATGATGAATGAACCTCTTTTAGTCTCGAATTCATTTACATTTTCTCGAAGAATGTGTAAAGTTCAATTTTTTTAAAATAGTTTTATTTATAAATTAGTATGAAAACAAGGCGCATAACTTATATATTTAAAAATTATATCAAAAGCTCTACTGATGAATACTTTTAATTTTATGAAATGACTAATAAAAAAGCACAGAAACTAACAAATTAAAAATTATCAGAAAACTAAAATAGTACTGTAATAGTGTAAATAATTTGAGATGCAAAGAGTAATTATTTTCAAGATTATTCCAAGAGCAATTTAACAAAAGCAAAATCCTTCAACGGTTTCAATTTTAGTTTCCCTGTGCCCTCTCCACCACTCCGATTTAATATGGATTTATTATCCATAAATTTTTTAAACATTGCAAATTTGCATCAACCAAAAATGAAAAAAAAATGAAAAACAAAAAATTACTCCATTTGTACCAAAAAATGCTTCTATGAAATTACAAAAATTAAGAATAAAGTTTAAAAGTAAACTACTCAAAAGTTCCACTAAACAAAATGCAAAAAAAAATATTTTATTTTGTTAAATGATTGAAATCATAAAAATTAACAAAAGTTATTTGAGGACAAAAACAAATATAGTGTATAAATCAATTTTGAAATTCAAAGATTAATTATTTCTAAGATTATTCTAAAAACAATTGATCAATAATCGGCTCAAATTTATCTATATCCAATGGGTCTACCAAAAAAAAGCGCCTTTGCTTTCTTGATTGTATTTCTTGTATTCTTTTCACCCCTTTCACCGGTCCAAAGAGTGGAATCGCCCATCCCAGGTGCCCCACCCCCTTGCCCGACAAGAATGGTGGAGGATGTAAATTATGATGACTCAGTCGGCCAAAAACGCTAGACCCGTGCCCACCGCGCACAAGGAGCCTCCTCACCCTTTATGGGATTTTTTGGATAGCTCCCACCACACTTCCCACCACACTGCCGCTTGCGGGACTCGATCCCTGGTCAGTCAAAGATTTGAGCAACTGAGCTACCCATGCGGGTCATTTTCACCCCTTTCACAACGACACACAGAGGTCCCCAAAAATTGTGTCCGCCATGAGAAGAGCTTCTTCCTCCGCACTCACCCTCCTTCGCCGCCGCCCGCTCCCATCTCTCATCTCCTCCTCCGCATCCGCCGCCGCGGCCTCCCAATTTCAGACCCATCTCAAACACTTTACTCAAACCCCGCCCTTTCTATCCCGCGATGCCAACAAGCCCAGGATGTTCAGCACTCAAACCCCGCCCCCCTACTCGGAAGACGTGTTGAAGGCCGGCATGGATGACCTGCAGATGGGTATGAAACTCCACAGAGAAGGTAAACCCGAAAAGGCCCTACCTTTTGCCACTAGGGCTTTGCAATCCTTCTATATAGACAAAGACAGTATTTCAATGCCCCTTGCCGTAGCCCTTCATTTGATGGGTTCTGTATCTAGTGCTCTAGAATTGTTTGATGAGAGCATAGGGTACCTCAATTGGGCCAAATTGGTACTAGGCCAGTTAGAGATTAGCGGGTCTGTCCAACATTCTGGGGTTGAACATGCTGTGGAGCTTGACCTGTATTACACCACAAGAGGCATGGGCAGGAGAGAGGAGGCTCTGGCTCATCTCATCAAGAGTGTGGAGTTAAAAAAGATGATTTAGGGGGAGGGTAGCGTTGAACTTGGAAACGATTATAGGAATCTTGCCAGTGAACACTTCTCTGCTTTGAAAGTCCGCGAGGCATTGCCGCTTTGTATGAAGGCACTAGAGATACACAGGGCACTGTTGGGGGATGACTCCGTTGAGGTTGCAAAGGATAGAGAAGTTCTTGGGCTTATATACGGCGGGTTAAAAGATCTTGATAAAGCTTTAGAGCAGTATCAACTGTCACTAAAGGTTTTGAAGAATTTGGGTCATGGTGAAGAGTTGCTCGAAATAGAAATTGAAGCTGCTAAAACTCAGGTTCAATTGGGAAGGTACGACGAGGCCATCGATGCCCTCAAGGGTGTTCTTCCATTGACTGATAAGGATAACAGAGATAGAGCCATGATCTACGTTGCCATTTCAAATGCGTTGTCTGGCCAGAAGAAGCTAGAAGAAGCGAAAAAGTGTCTTGATACTGCTTGCGAGGTTCTCGGCAAGGACGAAAGTAGCTTTCCGTATGGGGTTGCGACAGCTTGTATGGAAATCGGGATGCTGTATCAGGCAATGAATGCGCTTGAAGATGCGCTATCTGTGTTCAACAAAACTTTGCGAATGTTTGAGAAGATGCCCGATGCACTGAATTATGCTGGCAGTGTTTCTTGTATTATTGAGGAGATCCTTCTGGCAACCGGGAAAGCAGAGCAGGCAGTTCCTTATTTGGAGGATGCAGTCAAATGGCTTAAAGAGAGCTATGGGTCGAATCATTTCACTGTGGGTTGTGCTTACAAAACTTTAGGCACTGCTTACTTGGAATTAGATAGGCCTCAATCTGCTGCAAAGGTTTCTGCAGATGCTAAGGATATATTTGATGCCTCTCTTGGCCCTCACCATGCTCATTCAATAAAGGCTAATCAAAACCTTTCAAAAGCACATGCTGCTATGGAAAGGTATATTTATGCTCTCTTTTGATACATTTAATCATCGCTTCATTCACGGCACACTCTCTTATGCTTCTATGCTTTGTTTAATTTATGTGGATTACTTCTTTTTCATCGTTATTCTCTCGAAGAAGGTAATTGTTTTGGTATCTCAACGGGTTTGGGGGTGGAAGGGTGCATCCGGGGTTACACATTGTCGAAGACTAAATGACTTGTGATAGGAAGAAAAGTACCATTACTTTGAAAAGAAGTGTTTGGCAAGGCAATGAAAAAAGCAAATCAAAGCAATATCTTTTATAATTAAAAAAACAGGGTTGTTTTTTTAGATTGTTGACGATTGCTGCACCAATAACTTCATAGACTGTACGAAGCAATAGAAGTTTAATTCGTTATCTTAATTTATTTCATCACAGTTTACCCAAAGCTTTAAAAGCACAGATTTGTGCTTATACAGAGTAAATAAGTGCTTTTATCATGCGTTATCTTAATTTACTTCAGCTAAACTCTTTTATGATTTAAAGTGAAGAACATCAAACTGGTCCTTTCTCTAACAAGCATCCCATGTGGGTTTTAACGGTTAAGCGCACTTTTTTTTTCTGCTAATTACTTTTGGATCTCTAATATGCAGTTATCTTATTCCTTGAGAATAAGTCATGTTAAACGCACAAGAAAGCAATGGATACAAGATTTTTGACTTAAAAAAAACACTTGTAACATATGTCACTTAAACAATCTTTCAACTTTCAAAATAGATGCTGCTGCAATTTCCTATAAAGATTCACAACTTCATGCCTATACACAGAAAAGTTTGCGTGTATATGAGATAAATGAAATACGCCGCCATTAACCTATGTAGTGATGGATCTTTTTGCAGCTATGAACTTGCAATTGACTTCCAGAAGAAAGTTGTAGAAGCTTTGGAAGGGAAGGGTTCAAATGAAGAAAACAAACTTCAAAAAGCTCGCCAGATTCTCGAGCAGCTGAAGAAGAAAAGAGCGCGTTTGAATCCTGATGAAGAAGGCCAATCACTGTAGAGGCAAACACAAGTTTTTGAATGTGGAGGAGGCTATTCACATTAGAGGCATTCCTTCTTCTTCTAACTTTATTTATGAGCACAAGTCTTGAAAATATGATAGAGAGTAGAAACACAAGTCTTGAAAATATGATAGAGAGTAGTAGAAGTGCATTATTTCATCTCTCCTCAAACAAACTTTCCACTTCTAATCTAATTAAGAAAAAAACATTGTGAGGTTCAGACTCTTTCTTTTACCTCAACATTAATATGAATGGTGCAATCTCACTTTTTCTTTGACTTTGGCAAAAATGCAAGTGGAAAGTTTAGCTTGGGATGGTGGGAGTTGTTGGTAATTATTTTGTGTATAGGTACTAATGTACTATAACTATGATAGACTTATTTGGGAAAGATGTTGTTAGTGGTTATCATTACACATTTCCGCTTACAAAAATTTGAATGATTTTGTTAAAACTTGTCCAAAATCAATTTGTCGCTTCGGACCAATGATTTTGTAACATCGTTGAATTAGCATGTATTTCATTTAACCCCTAAACACGTTACATAAAATCGTTGATGACACTAAAATCACCAAAATTGCTTCGTTGTTGCTGTTGAACTAAATATCCTATACATAGTGCCTCAAAAAAAGTATCCAATCCATAGAGTATTTGTAATATTTTGAATATATATAAATTTTGAAGGGTGGGGTTCCCATGACATTGTAACCCCATGTCATAGGATGACTCGGGAGTGCTTTGGTGCTCTGTTCGTAAAATTGACCGTTCCTACCCCTGTCCTGACCCGGGCAATGTCATGGAAACCGTCCCCAATTTTGATCGAATAATCGTTTGATTCTTTCTAACGGTATACATACTCTGTCGGTTGTACTTGTGTTGTGACTTGTGACTACCATTTTAGGGGCAACGCGTTAGTTTTTTTAAATCAATGTAAAATAAGAAAAATAATAAATTTATTTTGATCAAACATTCAAATAATTAAAAAAAAATCTTTAAAATAATTTCTACTTCGTGAAATTTTACATTTTCTTGTCATTTTTATTTTCAAATTATCCTCTAGTCCTTTATTCTTTCTTTTATACATATATAAATATCAGACTCCAATATCCAAAATATTGACATATAATATTGCTTTTGCTGTATAAATAGGATCTCTCATTTTGGTATACCCTACATGCCCCATGTTTTTAACATTACAAATATTCTGAATGGGGGATGTAATTCATTTTTTTAAGAAAAAGTAAATTTAGGTTTTATTTTCCCCTGTCAAATAGGAAACGAGGTCGACATAATTATTTCATTGTAACTGGTAACAACAAAGAGAATATTCCATTATTATCCCACTAATTCCACGAGTTTTATGGATGTTTAATCCAATACCAATTATAATTCCAAAATAATCAGGTGAATATGCTCAAGTAGATCTTTTTTTGTTGCATGTATATATAATTAAACAGTTCAGTAATTAATTAACTTATTTATCTCTCTCAAAGTTTGTTTAATTATTTACACACTCCGTACTCCAAGCGTCTCCACTACTTCTCGATCAACACTCATAGATCAATAAGAATTGTTCTTTGAGATTTGATCTTCTTCAAATATCTTTTCTTTTTTTTTTAAATTCATTTCTTGTCAAAAAAATAATTGTCATAATAATTAATCGAAGAAAATATAGAGAGAATGGCAATAGGGGAGATGAAAGTGTTGAACGCGCTTGATCAGGCCAAGACGCAATGGTACCACTTCACGGCGATCATTATCGCCGGAATGGGTTTCTTCACCGACGCCTACGATCTCTTCTGCATCTCCCTCGTCACCAAACTGCTCGGCCGGATTTACTACCACGTCCCCGGCTCCCCCAAGCCCGGCAGCCTCCCGCCCAACGTGGCGTCCGCCGTCAACGGCGTCGCGTTCTGCGGGACCCTCGCCGGCCAACTCTTCTTCGGCTGGCTCGGGGACCGGCTCGGGCGGAAGAAGGTGTACGGGATCACGCTGATGCTGATGTGCGGGTGCTCCATCGCCTCCGGGTTGTCGTTCGGGCGGAGCCCCAGCTCCGTCATGGCCACGTTGTGCTTCTTCCGGTTCTGGCTCGGGTTCGGGATCGGGGGAGACTACCCCCTCTCCGCCACCATCATGTCGGAGTACGCCAACAAGAAGACCCGCGGCGCGTTCATCGCCGCGGTCTTCGCCATGCAGGGCTTCGGGATCCTGGCAGGCGGGATCTTCGCGATCCTCGTCTCTGCCGCTTTCGAGGCGAGTTACCATGCCCCGTCCTATGAGGTGGACCCTGTGGGGTCGACCGTCCCCCAGGCAGACTACGTCTGGAGGATCATACTCATGGCGGGGGCGCTCCCCGCCCTCCTGACCTGGTACTGGAGGACGAAGATGCCGGAGACCGCACGGTACACCGCGCTGGTCGCCAACAACGTGAAGCAGGCAACGGCGGACATGTCAAAGGTGATGCAAGTGGATCTCGAGGCGGAGGGAAAGGAAATGGCCGGGCAAGTGGACCTCGGGCAGCAGCCGAAAACCGCCGACACGTTCGGGCTGTTCTCAAAGGAATTCGGCCGCCGCCATGGGCTCCACCTGCTCGGGACGACGACGACGTGGTTCTTGTTGGACATAGCGTACTACAGCCAGAACCTTTTCCAGAAGGACATCTTCAGCGCGGTGGGGTGGATCCCGGCGGCGAAGACGATGAGCGCCACCCAGGAAGTGTTCAAGATCGCCAAGGCCCAAACCCTAATAGCCCTAATGAGCACAGTTCCAGGGTACTGGTTCACAGTCTTACTGATCGACAGGATAGGGAGATTCGCCATACAGCTTATGGGGTTCTTCATGATGACGGCCTTCATGTTTGCCCTGGCCATACCCTACGACCACTGGACCCACCCCGGACACCACATCGGCTTCGTGGTCCTCTACTCGCTGACGTTCTTCTTCGCCAACTTCGGGCCGAATGCGACGACCTTCGTGGTCCCCGCGGAGATCTTCCCGGCGAGGCTGAGGTCCACGTGCCACGGGATCTCGGCCGCGTCCGGGAAGCTGGGGGCCATGGTGGGGGCGTTCGGGTTCCTGTACCTGGCGCAGCCGCAGGACAAGGCGAAGGCGGACGCGGGGTACCCGGCGGGGATAGGGGTGAGGAACTCACTCATAGTGTTGGGGGTGGTGAACCTCATGGGGATGATGTTCACGTTCTTGGTTCCAGAATCAAAGGGGAAATCTCTTGAAGAAGTTTCAAGAGAGAATGAAGGGTTGGCTTAGCATGATGATATTTGATTTGATTTTCACATAGTTCTTTCTATTATTATCACCCCAATCATAGTTTGTATGCATGCTACTTTCTTAATTTGGATTAATATTTGTGCATGTTTTCTTGAAGATGCAATTATTTGTATTCAATTCAGATGGTTGACAAATGCCAATAAGATGAGAATTCAGTATGCTATCATATATACTCCATCAGTTATCAAAAACATTTCCTCTTTTATTTTTTCCATTTTCAACAAAACACTTCCACTTTTATTAAAAAACCACTTTTACCCCTACTTTTTCATACCCTACCTATCATATCATACTTTTTCTCTAATAATTTATCCATCACATCTTACTTTTACCCATCACATCAGGGGCAAAATTGGAAATGTACTACAATTTAACACTTCTTTATTTTTCCTACAAATCAAAATAGGAAGTCTTTTTGCAAACGGAGGGAGCATATATATGATGATGAAGTGATGAGGAAAAGAAGCAAGAAATTGGGATGTTTGTAAAACCTAGAAATTGTGTGATTTTGTCTAGATCCAATAAACTAAAATCAATATCAAACACACCTTGATTCAGAGCTTTTTGAATCATCTGTAATCGCTGCTGGTTTAAATCGGCGTTTTTGGTGATATTTTTCACGTTTCTTTCTCTTAAAGTGATGGCTCTTGTGTGTCCCTCTCTCCCTCTAAATATTTTGACGTTTTCATTTTTTATCTTACTCGTTCTATAAAACATTTCAATACCCCTTTTTAACCTTACTTTTCCACATTTCATCCGTCATATTTCATCTTACTTTTTGTTTTTTAACTATTTCTTTCCATTATTTTTAACTATTCATTGATGTGAAACATTACTTTTAAAAATTAACCCTAATAAGGGTATTTTTGGAATGTCAAATATCAAAATACACATTCTTTAAATCATCTAAAAGTCAAAAAAAGTATGATATTGTTGAACTCTCTCACTCTTGTTGACTGATTTGGATATTTTTACCCTAAATTTTATAATACTCCCTAAGAATGGAAGAAGGGTGCAGTGGACTCTGTATAAGGCCTGCAATTTTTATCCTCCATGCATTGAAGATGTTTTACATGTATACATTTTGTGTGAGATTTTATCTCACATTATAAAATTGAGAAAAAATATAGCTGAGTTTATAACTTCTTGAGTTGATATGTGTTTGGTAAATTAAGTGTTAAGAAATCATCTTGGAGAGGAGTAAAAGAGTATAAAAATATTAAAATACGAGTCATAAGTATTTTTAGAACAAAAAAGTGATGACAATGTTATATGGCATTGTGATCACTCAACTACTAGCGATCCGCGGTGGCACTTTAATAGCCGACGGTGACAAATGACAGTGTGACAGTTTAAATGTGACAATGTGTTGAATGTGTCAGTAGTACGTAAGAATTCTTATTTGGTCTTAAAAGACTTAGAACTCCAATTTTGATATTTTCATAATTTTTACTCTTATATAGGGAGTTTTAAATGGCATGTTTTGGTTTACGATATTTGACTGAAGTTATTTTCAAATTATTCTATATGAAAAACAGTGTAGAATTAAAAAATAAAAATTATATATTTAAAAACCACATTAAAATATTTACAAAATTAGTGATGACATGAGTATACTGTTTTATCAAATGATAAACGAAAATAGGAAAGTAAAGTGAGTGAAGCTTGACCATATATAGTAAACATGCAATTTAAATTGGGACAGGGGGAGCTTAATGTATGTACATTTAGATCATAGGTTGTGGATCATACAATCGCTCCTATCTTTTCATGTCACTTGTGTCATGTCAATTTTTCTCTTTGTCATCATATATGATTCCATTTCAGGGGTGTGGATCCGGCGCATCATATTCCTTTTATTTTTCTTATTTTCAAATTTTTTGTTTCTTCTTTACATCTATTTGAATTAAGATTATTTAAACTTAAAATATAAAATAAATTTAAATGAGGCAGAAAAAAGGCAGATAAACAAAATCAGAGGAATGAAGCCCGTTGTGATTGTCGTCATCAATGCCGTGATGGCAACCACACCCATCACGGTCACGTAGGAGGGGAGCGGTGTTGCCCCCCCCCCTATCAGCCATCACGGCTCCATCATAACCCCACCCCGTTCAGTCTAGGCGGGAATATTTGTTCCGAAACAATTTGATAAAATTCATTAAGTCATATAATACGAAGTACTAATTAAACTATTGCAATCTCAATAAATGTTATTCCGGTATAAGAAAAAAATATTATGACTATGCAATCTTAACATTTGCCTTCATCTAACAATGCACCTTGTACTAATTAAAAAACAAACATCCTTCATCATTCTTATTAAGTACATTTATATTATTTTCATGTTTTACACTCTCTTTTGTCAAATTTGTTGTCTTTATGATAAATAGAGAAACTTACCCTCAAAATCTGGTATATGTTTTCTTTTTTTTCATTTTCTATTTTACAATTTTAATGATGAATTCAGCCAAAAAATGAGTGTAGTAGTAAAAACACAGTCCTTATTTAAGGGCAACCCTAAAATTTATATAATCCAAAATAGAAATAAACTCAAACGGAATGCAAAATTCAAAATGTTTAAAAAATTAATACTCAGTAATAAATAGAATATCCATAAATAAAATTCATAAACACAAAATTCAAAAAAAAAAAAGAACAATTGAAAGCAACCCCCCTGGACTGAAGTGGGAACATAGGTAAACGGGTTATGGTATGCCATATTAAATGGATGTTCAAAATGATTTGCAGTGCCGATTCCACAATTAATGTATGCTTTATCTGCGCATATATGTGTGTGTGTGTGTATGTATATGTATAATACATATACATTTATATATACATGGATCATATATATACCCAATGTATTTTACTTTAGATATATATATATATATATATACATATATATATAGATAGGGTTAATGATATGATATGGAAGAATTGGTTATTGGGAAAATAAATTTCAAAGAAAAAGAAATGTTGAAAGGTAGTAATGAGAGGAGTACTAATGGAGGGTTGAAGAAAGGGCCATGGAGCAAAGAGGAAGATGAGATCCTCATCAACTACATCAACCGCCATGGCCATTTCAATTGGCGATCACTCCCCAAGAATGCTGGTAATATATATGTATACACTCCTTCCATTCATTTTTTACTGACCTTTATTGCTTTTTACACACGTTAAAATTTGAATGAATATAGACATGCGTCACGTCTAGATTCATTTATATTTAAATATACTTATAAATTTAGTCATAATTGTCACTTAATAATTTTAAGGTTTTTTTTAAATACTTTTTCCATTTCTTAAAACACTTCTTTTTTCCCTTTAAAATACTTCTGCTTTTGATTTTTAAAAAAACCACTTTTCCCTATATTTTTTCTTACCATACAACCTATCACATCATACTTTTTTCACTAATAATCCAACCATTTTTTGGCTTTGGGTGTGATGGAATAAATCAAAATGGATGTCTAAACTGTCCGCGCTTCTTTAATTAATGAAGTAGCAGTTAGTCAAGCAATGCAACTTTCGACGTTGAGGCGGGGGTCTCTTTGGAAACAATCTCTCTACTTTCGAGTAGGAGTAAGGTCTGCGTACACACCCTCTCCAGACCCTACTCTTGTGGGATTTAACTGGGTTGTTGTTGTTGTTGTTAATCCAACCATCATATCTTGGTTTTTACTCGCCAAATCAAGGGAAAAAATTGAAAAATCAAGTACAAATGTACACTCTTTATTTCTTCTAAAAGACAAAATAGGAACTGTTATATGAAACGAAAGAAATAGAAAAATTGTTTTTAATTTGTCATATTTTAATTTGAAAATGGAACAAAATATATATACATTCATTATGGTTTGGGTGCATATATGGAGGTTTGTCAAGGTGCGGAAAGAGTTGCAGGCTACGATGGATGAACTATCTGCGGCCGGACATCAGGCGAGGAAACTTCACCTTTGAAGAAGAAGAAGCCATCATCAAGTTGCATCAAGCTTTAGGAAACAGGTTTCATTCTTTTATTTTCTTCTTCTTTGTTTTAAGAGAAATTTACCTAAATAGGACTAAAACATAATGACTTTCCCAATATAAGACCATATGTTTTTATTTCTCAATGTAGGACTTTTGGTCATTATCAAGTAGTCATTATTCAAGCAAATGTCCATCATTATTGGACATTATTCCTCCCACAAGTTCATTATTAAGTCTTATTTAGAGAATAAAAAAGTTTAACTCCTACATTAGGAAAGTCATTATGTTTTAGTCCTATTTAGTGCAAATTTTACTTGTTTTAATATGTTCTATATATGATATCATCGGTTGCCCTATGTATTTTAAGAATTGGTAGGGGTAAAAGCGACTTTTTAGTAAAAAAAATGTTTTCTACGACAAAAGAAAAAGAAAAGAGAATGAGAAAAATTTCAGGAATGGAGAAAAAAGTACGTTTTTTTTAACAAAAAAGTAAATTTTTGTAAAATTTAACCACGCCCAACAATTTATTCCTCGCATCATAAAATTAACTTTTCACATTTTGACTTTTGCAGTAAAACTTTTTAAATTTTGACCGTATATTACGAAAAAAATTATTAAATTTTCATTTAAGTTTTTTATCGATTTATTCATTTTGAAACATGGTTTTGAAATTTATTAATTTTATAATATGTACCTATATGAAAATAGAAATAAAGATGGTCAAAATGTTGCATTAGGACGGAGGAATATCTATTACACTCTATAGATAAATAACTTCTACATATATTTGGTTTTTTTGTTGGAATTTATTAATTCAACAACAAAAAAATGTTCGTTTTTCAAAACTTGTTTTTAATTAAGTTTTTTGTCAAGAAACCAACTCAACCAAAAGCTCAAGCTTGTGGTTGTGGCCCAGGAACAGTTATTTATATTCTAACACACCCCCCCACGTGCAGGCATAGTCTTTTTCAAGCCTTGCACGTGAAACCTTAATTTTTTTAAACTGGGTGGCGGTGAGTTTCGAACCCGTGACCTCTTAGTCAACGAGGCTCCGATACTATGTCAAGAAACCAACTCAACCAAAAGCTCAAACTTGTGGTTGTGGCCGAGGAACAGTTATTTATATTCTAACATTTTTCTAATAATAGTGGTAAATGTTATCATATGCCTGCCTGCAGATGGTCGGCAATTGCCGCAAGATTGCCCGGAAGAACAGACAACGAGATCAAAAACGTATGGCACAGCCGTTTGAAGAAGAGACTGCTACCGACCCACCACTATGTTCCGGCCCAGATTCCGGCCGCCGCCGGCCGCTTTTTAGGAATCCACGAAAATCCTGCAGCAACCACCACGTCGTCAAACATTGACCATGCAGCCGCCGGCGGTAACAGTAGTAACATCTCCGGCGCTTCTTTGGAATCGCCGTCGTCGTTGGAGACGCTGTTAGAGAGCTGTGACTACTTCCCTGTTTACAATAATGCGTCTTTGTGGAACGAATTGACGACGGTCGCCGCGGACGGGAAATCTGCCCATGGGTTTCAGTCGTTCCGCTGCGCGGCTCCGCCGCCGCCGGAGAATGATGCCGGCGTTAGGTTTTGGCAGGATCTGTTAAATATTGCTGATGAACTACCTAGCTTTTAATTATTGTTCAAAATTTGTGTAACATCAACTTTAAACTTGGGCTAATAAAATAATGCATGTGGCCAGGCACGCAACTTATGATAACACCAAGTGTGACACAACTTATGATATTACATTGTCACTCGAAAAGTTTGGTATTTTATGTTTGTTTGTCCCTGAAACACGTATTATGTTGTCACAAGTGATGTCGCACTCGGTGTACCTTTAGGTTTATCGTATAATTTATACTTTCACATATCTTGAGATGATTTGTATTGTCTAATATTTACCCCCTAACTCAAGAAACAACTTTTGATAGGGTTCATCTTATTTGTCTAAAATTATTTTGATTTAAAATATTTAATTTAAGATTAAAATTCATACATGCAAATGTCATGAATTTGTGTTGCTTTCATATTTTTCATTTCCCTAGAAAGGAAAGAAAAAGGACAAAAAAAAAGAGAAAATAAAACTAAATGGAAGAGGGGGAAATTAAATTACTGGATTTTAAAAGGAACACTTTGTGAGCATGTAAATTGGTACACTGGGCTTGGTATGGTACCTATAGAAAGCCATTTTCTTCTTGGAGGTCAAATTGTGAATGGTGATCACAATCTCTCCTGGCTCTCTTACATGGAAACAATTTCTTACCAAACTTTCCATTTTCTTTTCTCGCTGAAGCAACACGCCGTACGAGCAATCATCGTCTGGCATGAACTCCTCCCGGTAAGCCACCTCGTACCCCACCACCATCAAATCCCACGTTATCGTCATCTCTCCCTGCACATTAATATTTCAACCAAACAATCATTAACTTCTTAAATAATCGCGACAATCTGGTCAAATAGTCACATTATCTTGTGACATAAATAAAACATAATGTATATATATACTTCTTTGACAGGAATCCTAATGCAGGTTGTTATGTTTGGTTTTAATGTTGCTTCAAGAACTTTGTCACTTGGGGAAAATTCATTGTCCTTGTCTCTTCTCAGGCCCCCATAATGAGCCTTCAACTCTTCTGGTGGAATATACCTATAAATATATATAATTACACATGTCTATTAAGGTTTTGAATGAAATTAATTTCACAATTCTACAAATTAATGGAATAGTGATACGTAATTACGTACTTGAGGAGTGTGTCTGTGACTCTGGTTGACCTCACAAAGATGAATTTGTTCTTGCTTCTTTGTTGTATGACCCGAAGATTCAGCGCGTGGAGCGTCGCAAACCAAATCGGAACGTTTATCAGTACCTGGGATTAATTATAATCCTCCTATTAAGACTTGAAGTTCCTTAATATTCAAAATATTATCTATGGTCGTTCAAGCCAACCAATTACTAAAGAAAAGTGGCACCTAAGAGCAATTAAGGTGCTTAATTACATTTTTGTAGATGAGTCCAGGGTAATTATCATGAAGGAGGCGTAACAGGTTCTTGGTAATCCAACGGACTTCTTTCATAGCAATTCCAGGAGAATTTCTCAAATCAGTTACCAAAATTATGGAATTGGGCCCCCCGGGTTTGAAATCGAGAAGCCTTATGCCCTTTTTGAGGCATTGGATCCTCCACCTGGTCAAACTATCTCGTCTTTCTTCGTGGGACGTCCCCCACACATCTTGGTTCAAATCCTTGAAATTTCCCAACGTCTGGTAACAGACGGGCCGACCGTCCTTGTCCTTTCCGTCGGCGTGCAAGAGGCTATCGCCTTCCGGGACGATGTTTTTGTCACCCAGGATGTCGCGGACGCGATGTTTCGTCCGCCACCTCAGCGCCTTCTGCAAGGCCTTGAACGCCTCGGCCGCCTTGAAGTCCCGGGATTTCAGGAACTTGGCCAGGATCACGTCCGTGCCCTCGTGGCCTCGGCTCGGAAGCAGCGGGACCCCCCAGAGGGAGATGTCCCGCTGGTTTTCGACGTCGGCCTTGGAGAACACAGCCTTCTTCTTGTTGTACACGAGGTACTTGCTCAGGATGGCGTCCTCCACGCGACACCGGAGGTCGAGCAACGCCATTTTGACGGAGAGTTTCGTCTCCTCGCGGCCCTCGGCATTGGGACACGACAATGTTGTTCGGGCGTCATACGGCGACGACTCGGGACCCACGTCAAGGTCGTCGTCGCTGATGGCGATGCTGTTGCTGCTGCTGGTGTCGTCTTCGTTGTCGAAGGAGGGGATCAGGAACACCCTTTTTTCGAGCATTGTTGTTACGTTGTTGGTTGTCAGATCAAAGATGGACTTTTGATCCGACAAACAACGTAGGGAGGTATGCATATGCGTGCGTACCTGCCTCTCGTCTGGCTTGCCTCCTTTGGAGTNGATGATCATCCAAAAAGAATTAGAGAAAGAATATTAAATTAAAGTTGGTAAATGGTGATAATGAATTATTGTTAATTGTCATGTTGTTTTATTTCATGGTGCGTACAATTCCCCCAACATAGACCGTTAACTCCACTTGTTTGTAATTTTGGTCACTAATATCAACGAACTAATTAATTCAACCAAAAACTTAAACTTGTAATTATGACAGAAGAAAAATGGTTAATATTATTGTCTAACAATTTTTAAAAACTACTCCGTACATACTATTGAATAAGAAAAAATTTAGTAGAATCCTTGCTCTTTCATTTTTTTGGTTACTCTAAAACACTTTCTTTTTTTAATTAAAATGATTATCCTATCCAAATAAAGTCTTTGCAATAAACTCCATCCATTTTGGTTTGATAAAATAATCTCTTTTCTTTTTTATGCTAATGATTAAATTGGAAAGTCAAATTACAAAAATAAAGCCTACAAAAGTCAAAACAAGAATCGTTTTAGTCAATGAAAAGAGTATATGATAATGACTTGTTTAGATAATAAAAAAATAATCCCTCTGTCCCACAAAACATTACCTATTTTGAATCATACTTGGTCAAACAATTACACGCTTAGCTTTGACTACAAATTGTGAGAAAAATATATTGAATTATAATATAAATTTAATATAATTGAATTCATCTTAGGATCTAGTTTTGATATATCAAATTTTTATAACATTTCTTTATTTAGATTATATTTAATTTATGGTCAAAACGTGTAACTAGTTGACCAAAAATACATCAAAATGGGTAATATTTTGTGGGACGGGAATATATTATAAATCACTTCATTACGAAAGAATAAAATAAGTAGAAATGTTTTTCTAAATATCTAAAAAAAAGTGGGCTACTTTTTTTAACAAAAGGTATCATTAAAAACAAAATTGAAATGAAATCAGTAAATCCGACAAATGTGCTTTTGAAAAATCCTCGACCAATGATGATAAAATTTATTTAACTTAAAAAAAAATTGTACTTAATTATACTCCCTCCCTCCCACTTAAATCTTTAACTACACTATTTACAGGATCAAACTTGATAGACTTTATTTTTTTATTTTCGTTACTCATTTGATAAAATAAAATATATATTCATTTTAAATCTAGTTTTGTATAGGTAGATCTTTTGATGTCATTTTTAAATATATGATTTTTACTTTTTATTTTTATATCTAGGTATTTATAATTAAATAAATTGAATTAAAATAAAATTGGTCAAATATCATAACGTGAACTGGAAAGATTTAAGTGGGACGGAGAGAGTATTTAGTTTTTTCAAAAATTAATAATTTGAATTTTAGTAAAATTTGTGGAGTGTATCGCACGGGTACGAACAAATCTAGTTTCATCAAAACTAAAAAGAGTGTTTGAGGAACACTACTCAGGGTACATCAAGCCTAAAATGGGCACACGCAAATACTCAAAGATTTTGGAAGGAAAAGAAAAGAAAATGTTTTTCTCTCAATTTCCTCATCAAAATGGAAGGAATTTGATTTTTCCTCCACTTGGTACATTTTGCCTACTCATTTTCTTTTCCTTCCACTTTTTCTTTCTTTTCCCCTCTAGCCAAACAAGAAAAATCGTTTTCCACTTCATTTTCTTTTCTTTCTCCTTTCAAACTTTTTTGAACCAAACATAGTGTAAATGTATGTGTACCTATTTTTGGCTCGGTGTACAAAACTGTAATGTAGCGTTCAGCATTTCTCAACTAAAAAATAGACTGCGGAATTTGGTAAATTTCAAAAGCGGAGGGGCAGAAATGAAAAGGCCAAAACGGTGGTAAATAGATTAGAATGAGATTTGGGAGTGCCTAAACCCCACCGACCGACTCCGGCGGAGAAGACGACGACGACGACACCGTGAACTTGTACCTAACGCTGTAAGGATGGTTTCCGCGGCCACCTTGATCCGGTACACGCTTAACAAAGGCGAGTATGTGTTTTCTCTCTGCAAAAAGGTCACTTTCTCCTTCTACATCCCTCTCTCGCTCTCTATACATTCACGCACTTACTTATCTAGCATGATTTGGACTAAAAATTGTCTGCTACTGGTTCAATCTGTGCTTTTATGTTGATTTTTCGCAATTTGAGCATTTTTTATTTTTGCAATTTGAGCATTTTAATTTTCTTGCTTGAAGCGCTGAGATTGGTTTGTTTCTGCTCTTCATTCTCCAATTCATTGTTTGAATTTAACTTAGGCCCTGTTTGGTACACGGAATTCAAACTTTGGAATTGAGCACTTCAATTCCAATTCTGTTGTTTGGTAACACAAAAATTATGTGGTTTTAGAATTGATTGTGCAAAAAATGATTTGGAATTGGTGAATGCAATTCTATGGAATTGAATCCCATGGAATTTCAATTCCAATTCCATCAATTCCAGATGCCAAATGGACCCTTAGAGAATTAAAGCATTGATTGATTCAGTTGGATTTTGCGAGTGAGGCAAATTAGGTCAGGAATTCAAGCCTTGAAAACAATCCTCTTGTAATTGTAGTGTAGTAATGAAACTTGTTGGATTCTATGCAAAATGTGAATGTTCTCTTATTTTCTAGTTTCATCTTATTGATTGGTCCAGTTGAATAACCTTGACTTTATACAATAGCATAAAATGGTAAACTACTATCCCAACTTTGATCTCAAAACAGCGCACCTCTCACGGTCTCATGTTTCTATCCGTCAAGTTTTTTCCCGTACTTGGAAACCAAAAACATATCCCCTAGTTGTAGTTTTATTTTCTCATGCCTCATCAAATGTTCAAGAAAATTTGTGTGTGTCACAGCACAAACGGTACTAGGTATATGTTTTTTCCATTCCAGCAGTGTGTCTGACAAAGTATTGTAGTTCATGGAAAAGAAAAATAAGGGGTACATGACATCATAACTAAGATCCGGGGATTTAATAAGTAAATAGTGGAATATAGCCAAGCATCATTTGTTTGAAAATCTTCTTTAGCATATGCATAAAATTAAATTCAATGAAGTGGAGTTCTGACACATGATTAAGAATTGCATGTGAAATGCAAAAGAGAAAAATTTGGGAAACCATATTCACATTGGTGAAAAACATAAATATGTATGAGAATGCACTTTTAGAATAACCACCAAGGAATAAGTCACCTACACGTGGACCATATACCATTACTGCTCAAAATGATTTCAGCGGTGTCTATAATATTTTTTTACCTTGCAAGTTGCAATTACTTGGTGTGTAATATATTTCTTCAACATTATTCAGTAGTGCACAATGGATCTCTAAACTGCTTCTTTAATTAATGAAGTAGCAGTTAGTCAAGCAATGCAACTTCCGACGTTGAGCCGGGGGTCTCTTTGGAAACAGCCTCTCTACTTTCAAGTAGGGGCAAGGTCTGCGTACACACACCCTCCCCACACACACCCTCCCCAGACCCTACTCTTGTGGGATTTAACTGGGTTGTTGTTGTTGTTTTTGTTGTATTCAGTAGTGCACAAAAATATTGCTCTGCCCCAAATTGCCATCACTATGTACAAGTCATACAAAAAGTTCAAAAACAACATACATAGTATAATCCCAACTAAATTGGGGTCTAGCCGTTGGGGGGTCAAGATGTACACGTTCTTATACTTGTAAGTAAGGAGGCATTTTTTCCTTCAGACCAGTAGACTATAGATGCATAATGTGTTGCTTTTACGTCCATAAAAAGTAAGAAGCCAGGAAAGTTTAATATATCATTTTAATTTAGTCCATTATTCACTTAGATAGGAGTGTGCTAAACCATAATGAAAATTTTATCTTGGATGAGCGGAATGATGACATCATCAAAGTATTCAAACAAAGTGTTTTGACATGAAAGATAACCCATATTATTCAGCTTTATGGATTTGACGTATAGGAATTATTTTTCAGCTTCATTCATCTGAAAATGCTTGAAATATTTCTCTGTATATATCTTAGTGGCGGAGAGAAATTCAAGGAGCAGTGTGATACCTGTGATTATCCAAACACCATGTTCTGTTATTTTTTTTCTTTTCATTTCTTCATTCACACCAAATTGTGGTTGCGGATTATTCACAATAATGGAAACTTGATTTGTTGCAGAACTACTTAGCAGGACATATCAACGAAAAAGAAGCAGGTGATGCCATGGCTAAGCATTTCTTTCTAGGAAAGTTAACATTCTTGCAGCATTATTTCAATAAAGGGGAGGAAATGTCACCAACGATAGGACCTCAGGGTGGAACCCTTCTTGTTCGGAAGATAGCTATACCAAATCCCATGTAATCTTTTGTCAAGCAAAGTATATGAAAAGAGAGAAGTAAAAAAGTGCCAGTCATTGATATGTGCTTCTTGCTTAAAATAATCATTCCCATTTTTAGTAGCCCCTTCGTCCCAGAACAATTTACCCATTTTGACTTAACAAAGATTAAGAAAAGTGTTCATAAGATGTTAAAAAGATGTAAAAAAGTGAAAAGGGATTGGTTAGAATTTGTTTAGAAAAGAGAGAAGTATTTTGGACCACATTCTTTTTCAAAAAAGGAAAGAGAAAAAGTGGGTAAATTATTTTGGGAAAGATAAAAAGAAAGTGGGTAAATTATTCTTGGAAAGATGGAGTATAAGAAAGGTTCTTATACTGAGATGTATTGGTGATTGACTCTGATACAAGGAATGCATTGGACTTCGCTATTTCCTTGAAATGATCTTTAATGCTAGCATAATAGCATTTCAAGTTAAAGGTTTGATCTCTATTATTTTGAAGTTTACTCCTAACCTTTGGCATGAGGCATGATTAATAAATGTTTGAAAATTTTACGTTCCTTGTCCCATGGCTTTCTGTTATGCACTTGCCTTTGTTTATTTTAAATTGGAGAATTTTTAATAGTCCTGAAAATAAATTAATTTCAGTTAAAATATACAACCCGCTATTGGGTTCAATCACGTGAGAATCTGATCTTTCTTTCACAGGCATGTTTTTGTAGGAGATGTTGTAGTCCTTAAGGACCCTGTCAAGTCAGATGATTTTCTGGTTCGAAGATTGACTGCAATTCAAGGATATGAGATGGTGTCAAACGATGAAAAAGATGAACCTTTTGTTCTTGAAGAAGATCAGTGCTGGGTAGAAGCTGACAATGGAAACATAAAGCCCAAGGTACATCATATATGAACAATGAAATTTCATTCAACTTATCTTGTACCTTAATTTCAATCACCAAAAGTTTCAAAAGTTCAAAAAAAAAGTGCTATGTCTTTCTTTAGTCCATTGGTTTGTCACATTTTTGTTGGATCCATGAAAATGCTAGGGAAATGGAAAAAACAGTTCTAAGGAAAAATATTTTTTTATGTTTGGGGTTCCCTCAGGAAATGCAAAGGAAAATAAAATATGGTTTGTATTTTTCAAGTTTGTTTTACAGAAATTCAGAATGTTAATCTTTATATAATATATGAGTTATACGAAAATAACAAGCCCAATATAATCCAAACTTTGTTGGTGTCTGGGGTCAGGGGTCAAGAACCAAGAAGAATACAACCTTATGTCTGTAAAAATAGAAAGTACATCACCCTTTATGCATTTGTTTCCCGAAAAATCATAGAAAGTAAAGATGTGTTAGGTTGGGTGGAAAAGATTTTCCTAGAAGAATATTTTCCAAAGGAAAGTTATTTTCCAATCATAAATTTTCCATTGTTTGGTGGGAAGGAAAATATTTTCTTAAAAAAATCTTTTCTTTCATTAATATTTAAAAATTAAAATTACAAACTTGCCAAAGGATTTTCAGCCTCTCTTTTATCTTCCCAACAGTTTTGTTCCTTCCAATTTCGATCTACGTTTTCCTTCCTAATTTTCTTTCCTAGTATGTTCGGGTTCCAAACGGAGCCTCATCAACAGGTGAGAACATATAGACTCTGCAGCCTTGTGAACATGAAAAGTTTGCTTACATTTTTCTTTGTTTAATAACAGGATGCATATGACAGCCGTACTTTTGGGCCGGTATCCATGGCGAACATTGTTGGTAGAGTTATTTACTGTCTAAGATCAGCAGTCGACCATGGCCCCATCAATAACAGGTCTGTTGTCTTCTTTTCTGAGTGTGGTAAATAAATAAAGGGAAACTGGTTTCCTTAATTTTTTTTTCCCCTCAGTAAATTTGGCGCTACGAAGGATTATCCCGTGCTTGAAGTTGAGTTGGATGTGGAGGAGATGATCAAGAATCACAAAGAATAGTATTCATAAATCCTGTTTGGCTTTCTGCAATATAATGGCTTTCAGTTTGGGATAAGCTTGCTTTCAGAGGGCTGGCATTTGTGGCATTGGAGCTAAGACTTTGAGAAACTATCTCTATGGTATGTTTGGGTTGGATCTCTGAAATTTCTTGGGTAGGAAAATGTTTAAGGAGAGTTATTTATTCAATGTTTGGTTTCATGTCTGGAAAATGCCAAGGAATGAAAATAAAAACTGGTTACTTCTAATTGTTAAAATCATTTTGCATGTGCTTAGGATTTGTTAGCCTTTATATAGTACTTCGATTTAAATCAATATATAAATTGAGTTTGACCCCAAAGTCAATAAAAGTTTGGGGATGAAATTGAAGGGATTGGGGGTGGGTTCAGGCTGGACCGGGAGTTGGGGGGGGGG